TAGATCTTGCAGCTCTATAGACTTCTTCACCCACTCGGGATGGTAAGTGACATGATACCAAGCTGAAGCCTTTTTTTCATACACCACGTTCTTTTCGTCTTGGCTGAGATTTTCGTGGTCCGGGTTTGTTTCCTCGAAAACTTTTCTGAACTCTTTCTTCATAGAATTATAAGAGTGCTTTAATCTTTCCTTCAGTTCGCCTTGTTTCTTACTTGTGTACTTAGGCATGGACCAGATGTGACCCGTCACAATCTCCTCCTCTTTCTCCACCTTGTATTGCCCGAGAAGACCAATGAGCTGCCCGTCATAAGAACATTTGTGACCCCATGCCTCAGCGATGAAATCTGCAAATCCTGGGATTTCAAGATCTGTGTCATAAAGGATGTCACTTGGATCTGATCTTTCTTTTGAGGAAGCTTCTGCATCTTCGTCGTAAACTTTTTTCACCCGTCTGTAAAGCCGACCCAAGATTTTTTTCGACAGGTATGTTTGATAGTCTTCTTTTCCCATGAAGTCTGGGTAGAGTTTTGGTTTCAGGTGGAAGGGCATCGACACGATTTTCCCTGTCTTTGGAAAATCAACTGCTGTTGCAGCTAGTTCTGCCAGTAACAAACATTCTTCGTCCATGGCTCCATATTCACTTCTATCAGCATGAACGACGTGTGCATTGCAGATTGTCCCCAAATGCTCATTCGCCATGTTTTTTACAAAGAAATCTATAATGTCCTGTAACAAAAGCGATCACTTAGTTACCATAAGAATTATTTTGCAAGCGCAACGAAAAGAAACTCAAGAAAGAGATCATAACTAGATTGGCACTTTGGCAGACATGATACTATTGCACTTGATTTTAACTTAAAAGTCACAAAGAGGTATGCTGAAGAGTCAGCTCAGAATAACAATATCCTGCACACTCAGATATATCAGAGAGTTATACTGGAATCCTCCACATCTGTATCTTAAGCGTTAACAGAAAAGAATAATGTGGGAGTCGATACTGACCTGGTGGTTGACAGGGCGGCCTAAAGTCTTCTCTTTTGCTGCATCATATTGCATAGCATGCCAGCTTTCTCTGCTGGGAGGGATGAGTTTCTGATCCCAAGCCACAAAGTACAGGTCCCCGTCAAGGTCACTACCAGAAGCTTCGTTTGTATGGGGCCTATCACCATTCTGAGGGAAAATAAGGCAGTCGTACATGTCATGCAGCTGAGGTACATCAACAGCTTCTAGAATCCTAACATCCCCTGGGTGAAGACAAGGATTCTTAGCAATGGCTACATAGCCTTTGACTACTTGCATATCTGCCTTTGACTCCTTAAAACGAGACCCATGTCTAGAGAAGCAATTTTCTATAGATGGTTTTGAGACTTGGATAAAGCACTGGCCCTGTTCAAGTATCCCAGCTTCGTCTAGGCAGCCCATTAGCCACCTTCCTGAACTAACAAAAATACGAGACTTTTCCCTAAGACCCCAAAGTTGTGCAGTTCTGACTGAAGACAACATTCCTCGAAGATGTGGCTCAATTTTTGGTTTGAAACCTGCACTTAGCATGATGGCTGCAGTATTTCCTTGTTCAGCACATGACGTTGTGAGCACTTCAAATGCCACATCTATATCATCAAGGATGCGGTTCAGTTTACAGAGCATGGATTCCTGCATATCCCAGAATATTTCATCGGGAACACCTAGTACAGAAAGGAGGGAAATAATTTGCCGGTTTAAAAAGCCAGGTTGAAACCTGGTCCAGGAACAGATCTCCAAGATGGTATGCTTAGAATGGAACTTGTTCATACTGTGTCGAAGAGCTAACCGGATTCCATCACCTTTTGATGGCCAACGAGCAACAACTCCTTTAAAACCTGCGTAACGGATCTGATAAGCACAAGGGGTGTAGTGCACATCCAACTTAAGTTTTTCCATTACTTCGTCAGCGAGATCAGGTGAGATTGTACCAATCCCATCAGAGAAAGTATACCCATTTCTCTCAATTTCTGGAAGCTCGGTGTCAACCTCGTGAGGCATGACATCTACAGTGGCGTATGTTGAGGAAAAGCACAAGCCCATCCTAGCAGCACATTTTGCCACATTCTTGTCTTTGAACTTTCCCATCCATATCTTTATATCTGACACTCTTGTGTTACCGTCTTCAGAAAAAAACCATGCAGAGCGGTCTCTCAGTTGATTGGACGAAAATGCTAGAAAACTGTATTTTCTACCACATAGTTTAAACCCATCGGTTAATAGGGTCTTTACTCTTTTAAAAACGTGAGTCTTCTGAGAGAAAGAACTTGATGTCAGATCCTTCACAATCGGAGCAACAAAGTAGGAGAGAACATTTGAATTCATGGTCTGCATGCTTTCGTCCATAAACGTTACGCGCAAAAACCTTTCAGACACGGCTTTGTATTTCCTGAGTACCCTGTTGGAGAGCTCAACTTCTGGGGGTAGGCAATAAGCTCTAGTTGGGGTAATCACTAACCTTCTGATCTCAGAGATATCATCAGACCGTTCATGACTCACTAAAAGCTTTGGATTTTTCAGAACCCATTCCTGAACAAGCTTCAACCTCTTGTACGCATCAAAAACAGGTCGATTATAGGTACAGAGATGCTTGAGAGAAGCTATATTGACATCCTTGGGTTGGTTTCTGAGAAGATCAAAGAAACGCTCAGTCAACTGAAATTGGTTTAAAACCCCCCTGTGCAGCACCGAATTTACTAGGAACATGATTTCAAAGGAGATCCCTTCCTTGTGATGAATGCAGAAGAAATGATCTGAAACAGCTTCCCCAAATCCGGGCTCATCACGAATCCTGGGAGGCCACCTCACCCGTTCCTCTTTCACCCTCTGCCTCCTTAGATAATCTAAGGCTGATATCAATTTATTCTCATACCGAGGAGATAAGAGCACTCGATATGAAAGGCATCGACCAATTGCCCCAGCTTGGGTAAAATCAGTGGTACGGATCCAAGGGTCATCATCATCCAAGAGATCAACAGGGCAAGTTTCGTAAATATCATCATCTGCTGTTCTATACCAGACACGGGGTGACGAGGCCAGCTGCAAAAGAAGCACAAAACCATCTGAAGCTCTATACTGCCTGACTGTTCGTATGTCTCTCACCAATAACTCCAACTTATAGTCACAATTTATAACAGCATGCCTCATAGTGTCCTTCAAAGAGAACGCAGTGCTCTTTGTGAAGCAAAATCTACATGTGTTGTCAAAAGGGTCTACGAGGAAATCGACCTTTTCAGCTCTCCAAGAAACAAGAAACTCATCCCGAGAAACCAAAGTCCCAATCTCAACTGAAATACCAGACAACTTTAATGGTGTGGTCGTTCTTCTTCTTTGGTTAAGGGTATATGGGTTCTCAGGCCCCAAACTGACTTTTAAAGGCTGGCCATCGAGGATGAGCTTGCATTGCCCTGCAGCATCCATGGCGCAAGCTGCTGATTCAGGACTTACGAAATGGACAAATGCATGAGGCTCTACTCGCTTGTAATCATTAAAATTGCGAATATTTGAAGTGTCAGCGATCTCAAAATTAGGATAAGACCCCGGAGGTGTCCAAGAATTTTTTAATCTGCATCGCCATATATGTCCTACTTCGTGTTCAAGGTAATCTGTAAGTTCTTTCGCAGTAGTGGACTGCCCAAATCCACCAATGCTTACTTGTGTCACAACCGAGTTCTTCATGTTCCCCTTTGACCCCATTCTCCTAAAAAAAATATATAAAATAATCAGACCAAAATAACAAAAACAAATAAACCAACACTACAAATAATTAACCATAATTTGCAATGACATTACATGACATATTACTACATATTGCAATAAATTGATTTGTTGCATTATTTTCACGAAACAGGCATCGCAAAATTTTTAAAGTAAATTTGTGATAAGATTACAACATACATTTGCAACCTTAAATTATCATTAGTATTCCAAAAAATATATTTATCGGCCATCCATCTAGGCGTAGATCGGTTGCAACCTTAATTTGTCATTAGTATTCCAAAAAATATATTTATCGGCCATCTAGGCGTAGATCGGAGGCTAGGCGGTCAGTTTAGGCAGTAACCCATTTTTCTTACGCCTAGTACCGATATTTTTACTTATTTAAAATTCAGTGGAGTGGAGTGGTTTACGCAAGGAATTAGCTTTGGGCCTCCTATAAGCAGAAATCGATTATATTTGCTGCGAAAACGAAGACTCTCATTTATAGTGCAGCTTCCCCTTCTCAGTTATCCAAGTTTGTCGATGTGGGACAATTCCAAAGACCTACTTTTAAAAAAAAATATTATTTCTGAGTCTCAGTAATCAGACCAGAAAAAGACACAGCTAAATCTGCAACAATATATGGAAACAATGATTGAAAAAAAACACTACCAGAACATAAGCATATGTCATGCAAAAGACTTTAGAATTATGCATCGACAACCAAACAGGTGCGGAAAATGAAGAAACAAAAGAAAAAGTCTAAATAAGCAAACAATTGCAAAAATCTGACCCCTTATGCACCTTTTTTATGCTATCAGGAATAAGTAATGCTCTGAGCCACTGACCAAACAGTAAGGAACAAACACAAACACTCTACGATACATCTAAAATTCTCAATGAAAACATGTATGATCGTAACCTGTCAAGTTGACATCATCTACCAACAATCAGACAGAAAAAAAAATCTGAGTGAAAACTAGTCTACATGAAAAAGCAATAAAGAAGGCAAGAATTTACATCATTAACAGCATTTGAGTTACTGAAGAAAGCAAACCTACATTTGCAGCCAATATTGGAATTAAATCGATTTGTATTTCTTGCCTAAATGGATATAATTAGATTCTAGCGGGAAAAAAAAATCCGAAATTAACGCCATAAACAAATTATGAATGAAGCCAAGTTTAAAAAACAATCTGAAAAATTAGTTACTCTTCCGGTCTACGATCGAGAATAGTAAATAGTAATCTTTGCTATTTCGGGTCAGAAGGAAAAATACGTGTTTGAAACAAAACCTTAATTACGTAAGAACTTCAATAAAGTCAAAAGCAGTAGCTAAAGTCTTGACCTCTCTCATCATAATGTATTAACGTTATACATGTATATATAAACAAAATACCCTCATAAACTGACCCCGGTTAAGGTGAAAACTGAATCCATCACCCAAAGCAAAAAAAGAGAAGATAACCGGTTCTGGCACTATATACACTATTATAATGTATAAGATTTCAGTTTTCAGATCATCACGGAAGCTCGGAAGTCTGAAGTTAGACTGCAGACAGACATCAAGAACAGGACCGCAACTATGGCCGCCCTAAGAAGTCCTCCGTATGAGCATTTCACGGACACCATCTTTTTAAACAAGAATCCGGTTCTGTTCTTTGATCTCATTGGCTTTCCCTTCTTCATGGTTTCCCCGACCGTATCCTCAACCTGTGTAGCAGTAAATTTTGTTACCATCCAATCCCACAGAACAAAAGAGCTCGAGTAATTTCGTGTGAATGTTGGTTTGTTATTCTCACCTCTCTCTTGATTATTTGAAGCTCTGTATCCTTCGAGTTAACATCGTTAAGTTTACTTTGCAGACGCAGCCTTCTTGAGGCATTTCCATGCATGATATAGTCAGTGGTACAACCTGAGGATTGTTGTTCCCGCCGAGTCTTTAACGTGATACCTGTTCTTGAAACATCATTGCTCATGTCACCTGCAGGACGCTGTTGATACGCTGGCGCAATCTGCAATCAAGCGTATTAACAAGAGTTAATTATGATTTCTTTTCTTTTTCTTGATGAATACACAAATGATGTTATGAGTTTTGGAGGGAAACTCCACGAACCTGATCTGGCCCTGACTGCAAAACAAACTTTTGCTTCTCTGGAACTTCGTCTGGGAGATCAAGAATCGAATCGAGAAAGTCGGATATATATGTATCTACTTCATTTGTACCGTACTGAGTCTGAATTTGGAAGCTGTTGTTGTTGTGGTTCCCTGAAAAGTCACTCGAGCCAGGCTGAATTGCAATGAAAGAGGATCCGAGCTCGGACTGGACTTGAGAGTGTAATGGAGAGAACAGCTTGTAATTCACAGACTCCAGCTCCGGAAAAGACAGCCAATCGAGATGTCCAAGCTGCAGATCAATACAAAAGTCGTTAATTTTTGTTAAACCGACACAATGACAATTATCTAAGAAAACTCTGTGGTGTCCTCACCTCGGCGGTTGTAGCCTCATCGCAAGCACCACTATGAGGATCGCCGGAGATTACAAGAGAAGATTCTGCAATGTCACAACGCTTCACGTCTTCTGTTTTAGCGACCATAGATACTTCAGACTTAGTATCATCCGGGGAAGATGCTGCAACAGCTGGAGACGAAACTGCAGGTTCAGCTTCATCCAACTTGGAATCTTCCTCAGCTAAACTCAGGTCTTGTTTCTTGAACAATTTGCATATGACAAATGGACTCTACATGAATATCAAAACAAGCACATCATAAGTTTACTTACATAGCCAATTTGATTTCAGTGATTACACCTCTCTACACGTTTTCATTATTTACCTGGCCTGGATTGGTGCCACTCAGGTCCTTCTCTGTGGCTCGATACTCGTGGATGATCCAATTGGTTCGTGTCCCCTTGGGAGCTCGACCAGAGTGGAAAACCAGAGTTCTCTTCACTCCGATGATGTTGTCCTTGTCCGATCTTATCTTTCTGTCTTTCCCTGTCGCCTTCCAGTAGCCTGCGATTGTTGCCCGGTTCTGTCTGCTTCCGTTTGGGTACTTCCGGTCCAATGGACAGAAGAAGAGCCACTCTGAGTCTTTTGTTTTGATCACAGAGAAATCTACAACACAAGCTCTTGATCAGATTTCAGTCACTAAACTAAAGATTTGAGTGCGGCCATATGTGCAAGTGAATCTCTGTAACCAAATACCCAAAAATTAAATCGGTAACAGTTTCCCAAATAAGAATAAATAGGAACTTTAGTAAACACAGAGAATGGGATCATAGTCCAAAAAGTCACCAAATTTATCCAAAATATAGACTAAAGCTAGATTTGTGAAGCAAGAACATTTATCATTTCCTATCAATTATCTACTGCAAACAGCGGAATCTCAACTCAATTCAACATAATGCCAGAGGAATCATAGAGTGTAAATAGAAAGAGACTATAAATTTTGAATCAAGTGAAGAAGAAGAAGAAGAAGAAGAAGAAGAAGTTAGGTACCAGGTAAATCCCAAGGTTCCCATTTGCAGATATCGATCTCTCGGATGGCTTTGACGTCGTTATCGTGGCCGTTGATTTTCCTCCGGAGATAGAAACGGACAAGCTCCTGGTCCGTTGGACGGAATCTTAATCCAACTGGTAGTGAATCCAGCGATAATACTTCAATATTCGGATTCATAGATGCGACTTTTTTGACGAATCGGAAGATGAATAACCCAATATCTAAGATTCCCAGATACGAATCAAGAAAAGCCTAGAATTTTTTTAATATAATAGAGATAGGATTCGAAGGTATCAACAAGATAACAATAAAAATTCTCAGATGCTGAAAAACCCTAAAAATCGGATACGATTTGGTAAAGTGAAGAAGAAGATGGATGTGAACCTTTGATTTTTTTTTTTACTAAAGAGTTATTATAGAGACGATGAAAGCGGCGCGTGGACTCATTTTTTTATATACACCCGCCATACCAAGTACGTTACGCGTTTGGGGAAAATTATTGAAGTACGCTTTTACCCTTACCAAGATGTAAATAAGAAGATGGTTTTCTAAGTAATATTTAGCAAGATACAGGGGTACATTCGGTAAGTTGATGACATGTAAAGTGAGCTGATAAGTGTTATGTCAGATGACAAATTATACACCGACACGTGGAAGCGGGAAAGGAAGTTGTCTGTCTCACTTGTTGAGTTTCTCGGATGGTTCCGATTTTCTTGATCTTGACTTAGAGAAATTGTCTTTCGATTCTCGGAACATTCGGACTTTTTCCTTATTCATAGAAAATTGCATCTAAAAAAATACATCTCGAGTATATCCAAGTATTATCCTCTTTTTGGTCATTAAATTCTTTTAGTACTAAGTTTTCTTAGAAGAGTAATAAAGTGCAAAATAAAATATAGACCTCTAGCTCAAACAAAACCTACTCGGGTCAACAAAGTCGTTGGATTGGATACAAATCCATATTGTGAAGTGAAACACCCGAACCAAAATACATGACCAGTTAGCCCACGGACATTGCCTTTTGTTCGGATGTGGAATCGAACCCACAACTTATGCCAGTTTACGCCCTAAAATTACGGTTTCTCAACTATCTCCTCCTCCATATCTTTGTCACACCAAATGAAAGATCATTTAAACTTGATGATTATGTGGTCACCTTCGGTAGCCAATTGAGCGTTGAATGCCAAGAGGTTGTACATAGGAGGAGTGAGATGCTGCCAGATTTGGTCTTTGGAAATTAGATATGCTATTCATCAAATAATACCATGTTTTATTTCCTAATCAGTTTTTAGCGAGATTAGTAAAACTGTTGAGTCTTTTCAAATATGGATTGTATATCAATCATTATCTTTGCCATAATTTACAGCTAACCAAACACATGTTTTTTTTTTGGTCAAAACAATATAAATTGCTATTGCAAAATCATTTGACATGTACCATAAACGGGAAAATGATTTTTCTTTGCATTTTACTAAAAGTAACCGAATAGTACAGTATTTGTCCATCGATTTGTGTGTGTGTGTGTCAACCATGAATATATACTATTAACTTTTTTTTTATATATATATACTATTAACTTATTATTAGTAACAATCGAAAATAGGGCACACAAGATGAGAGGTCCACAAAACTTCCATACGTTTGGCCATATCAATTATGCGTTTTAATTACATTAACTCCTAAATTTACTCCTTAGACTGCTGAACACTAAAATAAGTTCCTAACCTTCCCCTGTAAATAACTTTGACCAAACAAACAAAAACTTCTGTAAATAACTCTAATATTAGCCATCCCCCAATTTGAAACATTCAACACAAAAAGAAAAGACTAGACTATAGGCTCTCCATAAAAATCGGAATCATCTTAAGCTATATAACCCTAACTATGTTCTCTTCATTTGTTCAATCCTCGGGTCGCCAATAATAAATCGCAGAGACAAATAAAAACTTGTGTAAAGTTTTCACACTCCACAGCCTAAACCCAACCAAATTCGCAAGAAAATAAAAAATAAATAATGGGTGGCTGTGCGAGTAGACCCAAGGAATCAGACATGAACAACGAAGAAGGCTCTGTTCCTAACAAGCCTGTGTCAGAAACCGTAGTAGCCAAGGTATACAACATAACAATCATCTAGGTTTAAATATGAAAAATTAGGTCTTGTCTGTTTTTAAAATCTAAGGCTTAAACCGGTTATGATAATTACAGGAGAACAACACAGAAGAAAGCGGAGAGAAACAGAACCAGACAGAGACTGAGACCACTGAAACAACTTCTGTCGAAGCTAAGGAGACATCTCAGGTCGAGCCGACCAAAGAAACAGCTCCTGCTGCTGAGACAGAGGCTGCAGCACCTGTGGAAGAGTCATCTTCTGCTGGTGAGGCTGCACCAGCACCTGAGAAAGTGGAGAACGTAGCGGCTGCAACAGAAAACGCTGAGACAGCGGTTGATGCGGCTGCGGTTGCTGCACCGGAAAAGGTGGAGGTTGCGGTGGAAGAGGCTAAACCGGCTGAGGCTGAACCAGTAAAGGAGGAGAGTAAAAAGGAAGAGAAAGAAGCTGTTGTCACTGTTTGATTGATTTAAATCTGTGAAAATATTTTGAATGTTGTTGTAATACCACCTTGATTTGATTTGCTACTAACTGGTTTTAATTGGCTTTGTTTGTTCTTTGTATTTTCATAATGATTATTCTTTGATTCAATTAAACATAAATCAGTTTTGCTACATGCAACTTTCTAATCAACATTTCTTCAGCCGATTTGCTATATTTCGCGTTTGAATTAAAGATCTCGGCTTCTTCTCTCTATTGAAGACAATAAGATCTTGTTACCATTTCTCCATTTTGTAACGAACATGTAAAAAGGGTAAATGATACTCATCTTAACTTCTCCAACAACAATAAAAAACTCTATATTTCTTCGAAGCAATTTATTTTGTTGATCATTATTCTTTAATCTTGTGATTTTCCTCCATCTATGTACCATGGACAAATACTATTATCACATAGTCATACGAAAAAAAATGAAGAACTAACAGTGTTTATTGTAACAAAACTAAAAATCCAGAAATCTTAAAATCCGTTCAGTTTAATATAACACCCTATTTATAGATCAATTCCAAATGGTACACTATATAAGGGGGCCTAAAAATTGGGGGTTAAGAAAACGAATAAGAATGTGAAAAGAGCATGGACGACCGGTGACATTAAGTGGGCCAAAGGCCCAAAGTCATTGACCTTCGGTGGCTCGTTCTGACTTCTGACAATGTCACTTCACGGCGTCACGCTCTTCTTACCGTTGCCGTTTCTTTCTCTGAAGTTTTTGTCTTATTCTGGAATTTCTTCCTCTATAAATATCCAATCACAAAATAGTTTACTGCCCACGCCTAATAAATATCATATTTATTAAGTGAATATACGTAAGACACGAGTAGATAACCATTGTAATTTTAGGTGACACGTGAAGTCCCCATTTCACCGCCAAGGGATCAACAAAGAAATGTAAAGAAATGAATGACCAGCTATTAATATGGATTAAAATGTTAAAAATAAGGAATAAAGATAAATAAAAATATGAAGTGGATAAAAAAAGTAGATGAGGTAGGCCCCAGTAAGTGGAACCGTTTATTTAGTAACGGAGACACATTGATCCGTTAGAGAGGAGAGTGCGAGCCGAGTCTGATCTATAAATACTTCTCCATTGTCTTCTTCAATCACTTTGTTCTCTAGCTTTCATATACAAGTTCGAATCATAATTAGGGTTACGAATTTGCTGCTTTGCTTTGCTGATCAGGTGTGTGTGCTTCTCTCCCTCTCTCTCCCCCTATTTCTCCTTACTCTGTGTATTTTCTTTTTATCCTGTCGTCAGATCTCGTAGCTACACATAATGCGGTTAATTCGCCACGATTAGGCTCGGTTGATTAATCTTTTGCGATTTATCTCACTCCGATTAGGTGAATTATATGTATAGTGTATCGATTTCTTTTTTATTATACAAATTTTTGTTGTCAAATGTGATTTGAGCTCATCTGTACCATTTTTGTTTTTTTTTTTTTTGGTTTTTGTTTCCTAAGAAATGTGATAAAATGCATGAAGTATCGCTTTGGAATGAAATTTAATTTGGTTTTTGTGTGGAATTAGAGATTGCACATGGTTGCACCTAACGTTGTGAACTTGTGACAGATATTGATCGTTTTCATCGGATTGTTTGGATCATGCAGAGTGTGAAGACGGTTTGGAGATTTCGAGATCACAAGTAATTTGCTTGTTCACATTAAAAAAAAAAACAATGGAGGTATATGGAAAATCACCCGTGATTGGTTCTTCTGCGAATGTTATTTACTTGTCTGCAATACTTGGTCGCGATGGACCCGTCCCGTGTCACAAATGTGACTGGAAATGCGAGAACGAGCACGTTTGTGGGAACATGTACCGTTGCAAACTAACCGGTTTGAATCATGTCTGTGACAAGAACTGCAACCAAAGGATCTTGTATGATAACCATAGCTCATTGTGCCGAGCCAGTGGCCGGATATTCCCACTATCACCGGCTGAGGAACAGGCGGTTAAAGGAGTCCGGAGGAAGCTTGAAGACGAGAGTCAACCTTCTGAAACCTGCGTTAAGCGTCGAAGGCGTGATGCTCAGTTTCATTCTTCTCCTTTTGAGAGGTCTTTCGCTGCCGTGAGCCCAATCTGTAGCCAAGTTGGAGATGGAATGGAGATGAATTAAAGATCTGTGCTGATCTTTTTCTATCTACGAGAGGCTTTTCTTTTTTGTCTCACTTAGAATAATAACTTCCTTGCCTTTTTTAATTTTGGACAACTATGCAATAAGAGACATTATTCATGTGCTCTTCCAGGGAGACTAGGTGTAGCTCCCTGTCTGAAGAAGCATTTTTATCTTAGTATTGTTGAACTCTATGTAGTAAGTTAACGTAGGAGAGTGACTTCATAATTCTGATGCTCTGTTCTGAACATTCTTGTTTTCAGAATAATAGGTGAAGTAGAATAACACGCTTGTTTCAGCTTTTGCTAGTGATCTCTTATAAATTCGGAGTTTTTTCCTTGTGTTTGGACACAGTGGTGAGACAGGCTTTGCTTATCTGTGTTATCTTGTTTTGGCTGGCCTTACTGTTATAAGATACCATGGGTGATTGCTGTAAGAGTTTTTTTTTTTTCTCACATTGCCGACCAATGCAGCAGCGTAGGTTTCGACCAGGTTCTTCAAGATAAAGAAATCGATTTGGTTTGTCATCCTGTTGAATACTCCTTGATCCTCTCAATGATTACATGATTGCAACCTCTACTTTGTTCAAGACCATGTTCCTTCTTCTCCTTGATTGATGAGCTCAAGAAGTCATGAATTATTTTCTGTTTGTGCAGGTTTCATTGTCTGGCCATGCAGGAGAGTTAGTTTTATTGCCATTATTCTGTGTACAATGATTTGACTTTTATGTTTCTCAGTTGCCAGAGTTTGAGGAGTAATTCTAACAATTGGATCTTAAACCTTTCTTTTTAGGTACATTTAAGCTTGTGCACAGCAGGCAACTACACGCTTGGTGTATCCATTACCGTTGTAAACTCATGTTCCAGACAGCAGAGGAAGCACGGTAGCGAAGAGAGATACTCAACAAGAAATACTTTAGCTAATAACATGGTGATTTTGCGTTAGATAAACTGTAACAAATGTCAAATTCTTTGTTTAAATTCGTTTATTGTTTCCAAGTTAAGTCTCTGTATCCACCAGTTATTTGCTTTTCATTCTCTCTTTCTGTCTGAGGACCCAACATCTCTGACTAGATACAACCTTTCTCAAACATATGTATGCGACAACAAAGTTTTTTGACGTGTTAGATCAATGGAATTTTGCTTCCTTTTGATACTTGGAGCTGTCAATATTTATATCTCTTTGAACTCTTCAACGCCTCAAACATCATCTAAAATTGTCAAGCACAATTGTAAAATGGAGACCTTAATAGGATGAAGAAAGGGAGCAAATAGCGGGTAATGAGCTAATGGGCTCTTAGGGACAAAAGATAAATGGGTCTGAAAGGCCCAATATATCGTATAAGTTAAATGAAGATGGAAGAAAGAGAGAGAGATAAGACGAGAAGCAAAAGCAAAAATCGAAGTCGCAAGGAGAAAAGAAAGTAGCAAAAAATGGGGATAGGCGGCGGAGGAGAGCAGAGGAAAAGCGGTGGCGAAATGATGGCGATGGCTAGCTTGTTCAACGATCAGCAAAACCCAGTTCAGCAGCTACAGGTCAAATTCAAGGAGGTGGAAGTTGGTTTCAAGACGTGGTTGTCGAAGCAGTCGCTTCCGGTGGAAGCCGCCGTCGTTTCAACCATGAGCGGTGTACAGGGAGCTTTCATCGGCGGTCTCATGGGAACACTATCCCCTGAAATGCCTCAGTCCGGCGTTGACCCTCAAGCCATGGCCTCGATGAGCAAGCTCAGGTTCCATTCCGTAACTTCTAATTTGTAGTAAATCCATGTGATTTCCATTGCTCTTGTAATTGATGAAGGAGACTTTTTTTTTTTTTTTGCGGATTTGGTAGGCTCTTGTGGGTGGACCATGGGTCCAGGCTCGTAATTTTGCTGCCATTACTGGTGTAAATGCTGGAATTGCCTGCGTAATGAAACGCATTAGAGGCAAAGAGGATCTTGAGTCTGCGTAAGTCTGTACAAAAACACTATTTATCTCCTGAATGGCCTTTTGTAGCGCCTCTTGAATCGTGTCTCCTCTTAGATCTTTGTAAGCTTGTATCAGTTTTGAGTTACTAATTCTTGTTTTCTAACAATGGCTTACTACTTACTTAAATCAACCCTGTTGCTAGAACCACACACCAGAAACTCAGCTTTTTTAGCTACCCGTTAAGACCTGTTTGGTGCCTTAAAGCATTTTTAGGATCTATAAGAGCTGTTTCTGTTTACTTGCCCTTGTCTCTTTCTGATCACTGGTTGGTTAGATTTGGTAAATTTCGACACGGATTACAGGGTTTGAATGGAAAATAATTTTCACTCTCAGTCTTAATCAAACCCGTGATCGTATGAGCTTTCATTCACATGATCATGATCTCTTTGCATCTATGGGGGTAGATAATTTGAATATAAGATGTTTGCTCCTCCTCTAGAGTTTTGATATCTGAGATTGCTCATAAAACTTGTTCATGGAAGCTGAAGGTTCTCTCGGTGGCTTGCTTGTTTCAGTTTTTGAAAAATTAAAGGAAATCCTGCGATTTTGCTTATGATTGAGAATGGAAGTGTTAGAGAGTAATGGTTGATTTATTGCAGCGTGGTTGCAGCGTTAGGATCTGGATTCGCGTACTCTTTGGTGAGCCAAGGCTTGCAAGGTCAACCTCTTAATGCAATCACCACCGCTGCAGGTTTTGCTGTTTTCCAGGGAATATTTTTTAAGGTGAATAATCATATCAGAAACTTTTCTTATGAATCATGTCATGACCGACCATCCGTTCTTAACACAATTTATTTCCGGTTCTAAACTCAGTTAGGAGAAAGATTCTCTAAACCGAGCCCTGAAGACCCGTTTTACACACGATCAAGAACTATGCTATTAAAGCTAGGTCTACAAAAGTATGAGAAGAACTTCAGGAAAGGACTTCTAACAGATCCCACCTTGCCATTGCTCACCGACAGGTATAAATACTGCTTTTAAGTTTCAAGGTTCTGATTATGTAATAACTAAGACTAATGTTGTCGTTTGAACTCTAAATCCAGCGCGTTAAGAGATGTGAGCATCCCACCAGGGCCAAGGCTTCTGATACTAGACCATATTCAGAGGTTCGAAACCAACTTCTGTGCTCTTCCATTTGTGAAAAAACATGAGTCTGTGAATTTACTGAATTGGATGGATTGGTTGTCTGTTGTTTTTGAGTACAGGGATCCTGAGATAAAGGGCAAACGTGGGAAGTAGTAATTGAGTGTTCTATTTATATGGTCATCACCAGAATCTTTCTGTTTTAGCAGTAAGGATCTTCAGACACAAATGTAATGTTTTTTTTTTTTTTTTATGTAGCTGCTTCTACTAGCAATGTTTGATTCTCTTTATATTGAAAATATTTTGTCGCAAAGTAAACTAAATTATACTCTCTCCATTTCATAAAGAGTGTCGTTTTAAGGTTTTATTTTTGTTTCACAAAGAGGGTCGTTTTATGTTTTCAATGCAAAATTTTAAATAATATTACAGTTTTAACTCTATTAATTTAATGTATTTATTAGATAAAAATAAGTTATTTAATGTATTAATAAGTAATAAAATTGTACTTTTAATAATTTTCTTAATATGTGTGAAAAATATCAAACAGAGAGAGAGTAAGTTTTTAATAAAAAAAATGGAATATGATTTGTATGATAATAAGATGAATATGTATACAGTTAACCTTGAGATTTGTTGAATATTATTTCATACAAAGTTTGGCCAATCACCAAAGGGATTGGTAAATAAATGGATCAAAATTCGACGACTTAAAAAGGATCAAAATTGATGCACAATGAACCTTGAATTTTTTTTTTTTGGGTACTTTGAGTCTCTTTACACCTAATTTATTGGGTTTGTGATTCTCCCTTATGCTTTAATTATTTTATTGCTGATAAAAATATCTTCAATCAAAAAAAAAAGATAAACAAATATCTTCATTAGAATAGTAAGAATAATAACCACAGGAAACTTGATGCGACGTGTCTCTCACTCTCGTAATCACTAAAGTTAGAGCATCACTATCGCTAAAACTGATAATGGGGTTTCTATTTAATATTTTATTCTTAAATTTGAGAAATAAAAAAAGAAGAAAGAGAGAGAGAAATCGCTCAGGGGTAGAAGGAAGAAAGAGAAAGGGATGAAAAATTTGCTAGCCAATGTAAATATGACACTTGTACATAAGAATCGATTCTAAAAGCATATGCAATGGAGAGACCCTTTTAGAACATTTCCAATGGTTGACTCTATTTTTGGTTCTAAATATAGAGATCTCTAAAAATAGAGAAGATATTTATTCCAATGGTCATCTCTATATCTGACTCTAAAAATAAATATTTTATTTTATTTTTAAGTATTAATTGCTGATAAAGTTCTCTACTTTTAAAAATTTAAAATTGTTCCATATATTTTTTTTAACAATAATTCAACATAAACATATTTTTAACATTAACTATTATAAAAATTTATTACATCACATAATTAAAAAATTAACAACTAATACATTTTTTAAACATCAGTATTAGTACATTTTTTTTAAGCATCAGAACTCAAGGAAGAAAATAAAGTTTTACTTCAGAACTTAAATTCTATACAAGATCCAAATATTCGTGAACATGTTCAAGCTGAACAAAGACGAATTTGAAAAGAAATGGGTTGATCAACAAGCTCCTTCTACATCTATTTCATTCGGGCAATATTTTGGTGATTTTCATGGAGGTGGAAACAACTTACAAGAGTATTAAATTACTAATCTAATAAATTGTGTGAAGTTTTCTTTTAGTATTTGATTTTTATCTTTAAATTTTAGTATTAATTATGTATTTCTAATTTTATTATTTGTTTTTTTTTGTCAACAAAAATACAACGATATTATTTGTTATCTTATTGTATTTCTTTGTTTAATATATATTGTTATTAAATTTTAAGTTAAAATAATTTTCTAATAAGTTATTAGTAGTATAAATTGAATTCAGTGTAATATTGTTAGTTATATTATAGTTTAGGTATAAAATAAAAAGATATTAAAATTAGATGATTGTTTTGTAAATAAAAAAGTTATGCTCTAAAAATAGAGCCATGAACAGTATTGCTCCAAATATAGAGCAACACTGTTCATTTCTCTATTTATAGAGCAACATATAGAGTACCATTGCAGTTCATTTTACTCTAAAAATAGAGTTTAGAGCAAGATATAGAGCACCATTGGAGATGCTCTTAGGTCTCTTATTCTGTTTTTAATTATTAAAATTGAATAAGAGATGTAAATAAGAAACTGTCAATATTAATAGGTCAAATGGTAGAGACTAGAAAGGGTTTCTAAAAAAGAAAAATCATTATAATAATTTATAGAAAAAAAAAGATTTTCTTGAAATTAAAACACAAATAATACATAAACATTATAACAAATATAACAGAAATTATTACAGATGTTTAAAGTTTTAATTTTGATCATCTCCAAATTTTTGCCAAATATGCTCTATCAAATCCGCTTGCAGTTGGTGATGGTGATTAGGATTACGAACTTTTTTACGAGTATCCATCATATTTGCTATATTTGTTGGCATATTTGTGGAATACGAGTAATCCACATTTGAACTTCCGCCTCCTTCACCTTGTTGAAATTCTTCAGTAATAAAGTGTCTGTATCCATCTCGTTCGTCTTCGACTATCATATTGTGAGTATAATACAAGCTCTCATAATCTTTCCTATTTTGGCTTTATCCCAAAACAAAGCTGGATTTTTGATAATGGCAAAGCGAGCTTGCAAGACTCCAAAAGCACGCTCAACATCTTTTCGGGCACTTTCTTGTTTTTCAGCAAATAAAGTCGATTTTAAGCCTTGTGGTAGTGATGTGTTTGTGTGGTGTGTTGTGGGTGTCAAGTTTTACCCTAATTGAAATCAATAGCCGCAAGTGCACAGTTGATCGATTGTAGTACTTAGGGATCGAATCCACAGGGAAGGAGGTTCTTTTCCTGCAAAAAGCCTTTAAAATAAGTTAAAGTAAGGAAGTCTAGAACAAAAACGGTTTAGTGGGGGTTTGGTAGTATGTTTAAAATGTAAAAACAAAATATTAAAAGAGAATACGGGAATTAAATGACGTAATAACTATACTTAACGAAAATAACTAAAAATGATAAAAACGGATATTCTAATGCTTAAATGAAACTGAACTAAAAAGGAAAGACAATATTGAATTAAAGCTTGAAAGAAAATCGGTGTAAATCAATGGAGAAGAAAGCGTTACAATATTGAATTAAAGCTTGAAAGAAAATCGGTGTAAATCAATGGAGAAGAAAGCGTTGGGCTTCAGGGAAGTTTTCTCAGGGGTACGAACGATTCAAAACATTGCTAGAGAGTAAAATTGATAAGATCTTAGCTTAAACTTTTCGAACTGGAGTCACGGACGTATGAATACGCCACTGTCGTGATCATAGACAACTATCTCTCTCAACCCTGACCAGTAGGTTTCCACTCTGGCCCTGGAAGAGAAGACATGCATTATGTTTAAGACTCGTCCTAATTCACAAATCGCCCATAGGTAGGTTTCCACTCCTATGTTTGTTTTGCTCTCCCAAACTAGATCTGATACCTGATGAACACTTTCGTGTCACCAAGCATCTGGATCAGATTGTAGTTCATGACGCTACTCTCATGCAGTAAAAACGAATTCATAAAAAAAAGTTCTAAGATTCGGCTCAAAAGCTCATGGAATCCTCATCGAACATATAAATCCCCATCAAAAATCCCTTAATCCCATCAATAAAACTACTCAGACATAATGAACGAAATCAAAAACATAGTATTAATAAGTAGAATAGAAACCGAAATTGAAAAAGAGAGAACAAGGGTTCAAGAGAACAAATCTCTCTCTCCCTAAAAGCTAAAGCAAAAACAATAAAAATATGAAGTAATCATAGATGGTATTCGGTTTTTTCACCATTTAGGGTTCCTAAGACATGTATTTATAGTGCTCAAGACCTCTCTGGACGTCACTTAGGGTTTCTCTAAATGTGGGCTTCAGAAATGGGCTTTTTGGGCTCGGAGGTTGATGGCCGCGGTCGGGAGTGCTCTGACCATGGGGAATGAGTGGTTTGCCGCGGTCGGGATGCTCCTGACCGCGGGAAATTGCTTGTTGGCCGCGGGTGGAAGTGCTTGCCGGCTGGTTTACGGGACATCTTGCTCTTCGCGTATCTTTTGATTGAACCGTTGGATTGCCAAGCTGTAAAGTGTACTGGAAAACTGATACTTCCATATTTAAGGTCTCCAAATTTGAGCTGGATCAGACGGTGAGAAGACCTTCAATTAGGGGTGAACTTCTGACGGTTTGACTCTGAGCTGAAATCTGGTTTTCTATCCATTTTGTTAAGCTTTTCCCTAAGTTACCTGAAAAGAGTCTTGGAACTACAAATACTAGAAAAACGTAATAAAAGTACTTAAAAGCAATTGAAAACATAGAAAAAGTATTTCAAAACGATCCATAAAAGTGGTCAAAATACGGTGTTATCAGATAGGTTAATAGATGGGACAAAAACTGATCAAAAGCCTCATCAAAGTTGTTATGAGAAGAAGAAGCCATAAACTTGGAAGAGAATTAACAAGATTTAGAGAAAAAGATAGATAATAGAAAGAACAAGTGAAAATGGAACAAGATTTAGAGAAAAAAGATAGACTTGAAAGTGTTTGTATATGAAAGATGAGAAGGCATTGTTCCCATATATAAAGGTTTTATTACAATGTATGTCCACACACAAAAAAAGAATGGTTCTGTGGTTACAAAGTAAAGCATATATTCTCGACAATACACTCAAACAGAAAAGAACAAAAATAAAAGCAAAAGTTGTGGTAGCCGGTAACTTGTTCTTTTGCAACTTGTGACTCCTTTTGTAATGTTCTGCCATCTACAAAACTGTACCACGTGTCTTTTGCAACTTGCCCTGAAAACAACGAAGTTAACAAGTGAGCATGAACAATATATAAACAATTATTGATAACATGACACAACACATGACAAAGATTATAGAGAATATCATTGATAACATGAAAAAGCCTTTATAGAGAATAACAGAGAATATCAAACAAACATAGCATTGATAACATAACATGAAACAACAGTTACAAACAGACACTAATTTTCCAACTAACATCAAACAAACAAACATCAAACAGACACAAACTTGAAAGACAAACAAGATCAAAGAAGATCAACACAACCAAACAGACACTAGTTTTCCAATATCTCGCACATAATCTTCATCTTCACAGCTTCTTCAACTTCCGAGAGAGGTTCCTTCTTTGCAATAAGAGTATCTAACAGCGCCATCTGTGTGACCCTCTTCTTCATCTTCATTTCCTTCTCCTTTATAGTCCACAAACCCTGGAACTCATTGACAACCTTACCTTCCACAAACCCTGTCTTTTTAGCTTTGGCCTTTGAGGCTTTAACTCCAGGAGGTCGGGTTATGGTTTCAACAGCTTCGGTGGCATTGTACTAACCGGGGATCACCTCCTGGACCCTTCTGACTAGCCGCATAATAGAGTGCAAACCTAGACCAAAACCGCATCCAACTTCTGCTCATTGCCCACAACTGGGTCTTTACTCGTGTTCAGCCACGAGCTGATGAGCAGAATGTCATCTGCGGGAGTCCATGTTCTTCTCTCTCGAGCTTTTGCTGTCTGCTTGCTCGTGCCTTCATCGATGAAACCTTCTTGAGTGCCAGCCTGTGTTGAATATGCTGGGAGATTGAGTGAAGGAAAGGGATTATGGTATGGTGAGCCACAATCTTCTTGACTATGCAAGAGCTCAACGAAATTTGAGGTTTGGGAAAAGGGATACGTTGAAGACATATCCCCTAAGGTTAAGAGATGAGAAGAGATGTCTGTTTATGAGATGAGAAGAAATGAATGAGAAGAGATGTCTGTTAAGCGATGAAAAGAAAGGGAAGATGCATCGGGTTTAATAGAGAAGGTGAAAGAGAAGGAGGAAGACAAGTTGCATCTGTTAAACAGATGAAATTAAAGGAAAAGAAGAAGCATTGATCACGAGTTATATTTTTAAAACAAGCACTTAATTCAAGTTCACAACCATATTTGAGTTGACAGTTATCTAACTTCCCCTTTTACACACCAAAATTCCATTTATTACCTATAAACACTACCATAACCTAATGTTAAAATGCATTTATTGCAAACTAAAGGATAGAATTTTGAACTGACCTTTATGCGAAGCTGATGCTGTGCTTTACCTTGATGTCTCTTCGCTCTACTTGCTGTGTCTTCTCTCTTCCTTAAAGCCAATCCGCATTACTCTCTCCTCGTGCAGAGCAAAGAAAAACCATTTTCAATTTTCCTATTAATGGAAGCAACTAGTAAATATTCCATTAAAGAACCAACCTAACTCCAAAACTAACTCCAAAACTAATCATCAATACCTAAACCATTTCAACCATTTCAACCAAATACCAAAGTGAAATGATCGTATAAACCATCCACCACAATGTGATCGTATAAACCAAGTAATCATAATGTCATCGTATAAGCAAAGCTAAAACCATTTCAACCATATACAAGCTTATCATCTCTTCATACTTGTTAATACTTGTTAATCAAACTAAGTGATCATGTTTGTTAATCATCCATCACACTTGTTCATAAAACATAGTGATCTTTTACTCTTACTCAAATACCATTTCACTGACAACCATACATCATACTTGTTAATCAACATCAATTAAGCCATTTCTATTATAAACTATTTCCATAATAAACAACCAACACCGATGGAATCAATTCACAAAACCGATTGGTTCCTATATCATTCTGGTAGTCTCGAACCCTAACCCAAAGTCACTCATCAATCAACTTCAATTAAAATCACGCACAAGGGGGATTGAAGACAAACCTTTACTGAAGCTAAATTGAACATCGACGAAGCCGGCTGTCGATTGAATTCCTTCGGGCTTGGATGCCGATTGATTTCCTTCGGGCAAGAGATTGGAGAAGATCGATGAAGGCGACGAAGCCGGAGTCACCCAGAAGCAGCCGATTTCTGCGAGAGGAATCCGATAACGTCGACGCAGAAACCGGAGAATCGCCGGTGAAAGAGGAATCATCGTTTTTTTTTTCTTGCATGGAGGAGAAATGAACTTGGGAATTTTTCCCCCGATAGAGAGAGAGAAAACATCTGTTGACCCATTCATTTGATGACACCTGTCAACTAAAGACGGTCTCTATTGTCTCCTAATTTGGATACGTCTTCAGCCCAAAACACAATTAAACCTATTTTGCTTTATTTTTAATTCTTAAAAGTTTTTAGAAACTGGGCTTAAAGACCCCATTGCACATGGTATAAAGTATACCAAATAAAAACTGGCTTCAGGCATAATAATTGTTTTATTTTTAGTTTAATGAAATAAATACCCAATAAACTCTTTTAAGGATCTGCGATAATGATGGTCTTACATGAATACAAATCATTTCCGTTTTAATGCGGTTTTACATCAAATTCAGTTCCACAAAAAAAAAATCATCAACTTCCCCAAAAAAGTAACGTCACTTCCCCTTAAAAAATGGCTTTGCAGTCATGTAAATGTAGCATCTCAAGTTTGCCGTGATTTATTGGCTCAACCCTTTTGTGGTAACTAGTTTTCAGAGATGAGCAAAGAATTTCCTTTAAAAAGACAAAAAAAATTGGTTTCTTGTACCAAAAAGGCAAAAACTGATACAAAGTTTTCCGACCACCGTTGAAATTTTCGAAGGTACAAAATTGTGAAATATTATAGCCTTGCGATGAAAATGAAAATTTTTAATATCTTAATTTCTGATTTATGTTTACTTCTCTTTACATATCAAACTAAACTTTTCCTCATGAGGGGTTTTGGATCTACTAAACAAAATTAAAAAAAAAAAAAACTGGCATTGGTCTTAGGATTCGTAGCCATTTTTACAGATATATGATACATCTATCACTATATATTATATATCTACGAGTTTGTAACCACGACTTCAAGAGACGAGGAAGAGAGACGAGAGATTTGGTCCACGAGGAAGAGTATACGAGATTGATACTCACGCGCCTGATCAAGAGACTCGACCTCCAGCTCCGCCAGCTGCGAGCAGAGTCTCTCCTCCGCCTCTTCGGCCACCACCGTCCGCCGCCACAACTGCACCATCTCTTTCTTCATATCCTCCATTTCTCTCTCCAATTCTCCGTTCTTCCTCCGTAGCTCCTCCACCTCTTCCGCCGCCACCGTCACGAAACGTCCTCCTTTTCCCATTTATTACAATTGCAAATTAAAAATAAGAACAATTTAGATTTTTCTGGTGGTGTGTGTTGTACTTGTACATTCTGTATCTGTTTTGGTCCTTTTTATAAGCATCTTTTTGCGTTTTGGTCTCTCGAAAATGTCCAGGTTCATTGTATCTCGTGTTCTCGTATTTTTTTCATATTGTTATACTATATTTTTGTTCTGTCAACTCACTGTCTGTCGTATCTATTTGAAAAGTAACAACACGTGGCGCGTATTATGCATGACTATTTATTTTCAACACTTGTTTTTCTTTCTTCTTTAAAAAAATTTGCATCTTACATTTCTTAAAACATTACTCATGTCAAAATAAAATTTCATATGTTATTCTTTTAAAACAAACATGTTAAGTTTTTATCACCAAAAATGATGATATTCTTTTAAAATTTCATATGTTTTTTTTTTTTGTAAACAAATTTCATATGTTATTCTTTCATATTGTTAAGTTTCATCAAAATCAATGGACAATATATTATTAATTAGTCCATATCATCTTGCCATGATTACACACTCAAAATGTTCGTCGTGGCCATTAGATGTGGTTCCCCATCTATATTTTTTTATAAGTGCTCTAATTTTTAACCCCAAAAAAAAAAAAAAAAACCAGTCTTCTTTGACAAAAAAACAAAAAACAAAAACAAAAAACAAGTCTTCATCTACTGTCTCCTAGAGATAGTTAGTGGAGCATTAACTTATCGATCGTGACAATTTTAACAAGAGAAAAACAGACTTACCGTGACTCGCGTCGCGTGAGGTTCCAAAGATACACTATTGAATTTAATATTGATGGAACCTCTAGATATTTCTTCAAAAAAGAAGTCCTTATATGTGCGCAAGAATTCTTTTTCGTAAATGTACCAATCGATGGCCCCACATTCTGCATCCATTGTGGCCTTACTGTTCATAATCGAATAATTCGTAATTACATTTAATCAAACGTATCTACCCTCGACGTAAAAGAAGTATAATTAAAAAAAAATCGAGAAGCTGAGTTTGCATATTTGTATACGATTCACACCCATAAAATAAGATATCCCATAACTGATCCACGAATACGCTGCATATCTGTGTTTTTATATCTGGCACACAATATATATAGAGTTGTCTAGAGTCTAGTAAAATGAGAATTTGATATTCAAATGATACCAACCGGTGAACGTCAAGCGTATAGTGTTATCATTATAGACTTTACATAGATCGCGTCATAAATGACGTCGACGTAGTTGTCAGATTCCATTTCGTCGTGCCTCCATTGGGCCACTTCTTTCTAGCGAATTATTTTCCCCAATTATTAAAAAATGCCAAGAAGGATCACGAGACAAATTCGCACATCTTGATTGTGTTCTTTTACGTCCAGGTTCAATGTATCTCCTATCTTCTCCGGTTCTCTTCCCAAATCGCATATTCTTTTCGATTCACTTCGGTTTAGTATACATGCTAATCAGCTAATTAATGTATCTGTTTGGTTAAGCTTTGGGAGGGAATAAAAAAAGGGAAAAAAAAACTTAAATTGAAAATTCAAATCAATCCATTTTTCGCAGGCTCGGTTTAGTCCATATATACCCGTCATGGCGTCATCGATTAAAATAAAGATGTTAGTATCGTAAAATCTTCATCATCTAATTCTTAAACCAAAAGAGTAAATTTAAATTCGTATATATGTACAACTACTTCAACAACATAACAAATAGATTTACGTCAAAGCCGAATGTCACGCTTCCCTCTAATTTTATAATCTTTGCAAGCACCACATCATAATATAACTTTATATAATAGTGAAATTAAGTAATTAATGATCCTCAACTATTGGAACACCAATGTTTCACGTTTCATGAAAACTATTTTTATGGTGAAAATCATTCCTAAGATTTCATGAATTCTACGGTTTTCATTGACCCCTAGATTTTAATCCGTGCGTTCGCACGAAATTTTTTTATTTTTAATCTAATTTTGTAATATAATTTATATTTTTATAGATATAATATTATTTTTATAAATAATATATTTATTTTTATGTTTAGATAATTTTTTATATTTATTTTGTAATAAATTTGATCATGATTATAAAACTATAATTTTAACTTGACCATTTTATTAATCCAAAAAAATATAAGTTAAAACATAATTCTAATCCGTCCGTTCATATTATCGTATAATATGAGAACTATTAATTTTAAATTTTTAAAATTTTGAACTGATTAATTATTAAAAATATATTTAAATAATATATCATTTATTATTATTTTATTATGAGTTATTTAAATTTAAATATTTGAATCTAACATAAACTAATATTTTATTTAATATTTTTTTAAAGATAATAATATTTTTTTAATTTTGATAATTAATCTAATCTACCTTTAAGAAAATCTAAACTAATTAAAACAAAAATCTTAAATTTCGGAATTATTTTAAATATATCATTTTATTAATTTTCAGAAATAATTAAAACAGAAAAATCAAATTAAAATATTTGTTTGGTAATATAAATAGAATTTATCCAAAAACAGAATAGAATAGTAGAAAACTAAGTAAAATCTTTTTGGACACAAAACATACTTCCCCTTTAATAGTATAGATATACAATTTTTTTTTTGTTAAAACTTTCATGGACCATATAATAGAGCAGCTCCAATGGTAGTATTAGGAGGGGTTCTAAATATGTTTTTGATTTAAAAAAATGTTTAAATAGTTTAATATGCTTGAGACGTCTCTTATTTTAGAGATTGAAGAGCCTGGGTTGAGTTTCATACGTGGCGCAAAATGATTGGTGGCATGTTTTTATTTTTTTATTTTTTGTTTTTTTAATCAAAGTTTCTGATTGATGTAGAGTCTTTCAAATGAAAATATTGTTTGAGAATATTTTTTATCTTCTTTCTTCGACTTCGGTGGTATCGAAGTATCCAGCAAATCCAGCGTTCGATCTTGGCAAGTCGATGGCGGCGGCGACACAAGCTCCTTCTCCTCCGGGGTTCTGCTTAGACTCCGGTGGATTCTTCTCATCGGAAACGATGGTCGCGGAGCTTCCTCCCATAGAAACGAGATCGATCCAAAGCTAAATTCACAGACAGCGTCTCAGATGCTCTGTTCTCATCCCACTTGAGTCCTGTAAATCCTTTATTCGGATGACACATCTAAGTTTGTAATTCAGACATCTATGTTTTTTTATAGAGGAACTGGGTGAGTTTGGAGCTGAGATAAAGCTTTCTCTCTTCCAGCTTGGGCTCAGTCCACAAATAATAGCATCCATAATTATGCAGGTTAAGATCTTCCCTTTGATGTAATGTGTTTGCCTGAATTTGTGGGTTCTTTATGTATTAAGATTATGATTGATGATATCAAGAGATCATGAAAATGTGTTGTGCCAGGTGCTTTGTCACGTTCTTCCATCCTTGGTGAAGCTGCGAAAGGAAGGCTTAGATGGTCACGAGAAGATCAAGAGTTACATGTGTGTTTAGTTTTTTTCCTCTTAAGCCGTGAGATGAATTTTTAACATGCAATTAATTTGTTTGTTGTAGCTCTTGTGACTTTTGTGCTTCAATAAACAACGTTACTAAATCGTTTGTTTTTTACCTCTATCTTTTTTAGATGATGGCTATCGTTTCTCTTTGCTATAGTGGAAGCTGTAGTGGTGGCTTGCACTTCTCTCCAATATTCAGTTTTTGCAGCCACCTCTCAGTAAGTTATAGGATTACTCACGTTCAGAGTAAGATATAATATTGCTTATAAATTCCATTCATTTCATCATCAATATTTTGTAGAAAAGATTGTTGTATATTGCAAATTGTTACCATTGATATGATTGTGGATCTCTTTCTTCTTGTTCTGTTTTTAATATGGTGGTGATATCTTCATATCATCTAAACTTGTAATTTATTGTCTTGCAGGACACCAATGAGGCATGGACAAAGGCTACTGTCATCGGCTTTTTGAAGTTACAGGCCACCGTTTTGTGTTTGTGTTTTGGGTTTCATTTGATAACAATTGAGTCTTTATGGCATCGGTGCATTCATGTGGATTTCATTTGTTGTGTTTTGGGTTTCATTTTTTGAGTTTGTGTTTTGGTGGTGATAGTTTTGTGGCAAGGTTTTTAATTTGTATTAATTAAATGTTTGTATTTGAAAAAAAATTATAATTAATTTTTTTTTAAAAACCTCTTTTAAGATTCTACCATTGGACAATAAAACAATGAAAAACATTTGTAAGAGGTTCTAATTCACTAAAGTGATAAAAAAAATTATTAAAAAATAAATTAGATCTTCTCATTAGAGACTATTGTTGGAGGTGGTCTAAAACTTGCATGAAACTCATCTATAGTAAAGAACCTTCTAACATCCATATGAGATACACTTTACACATATCGATCCATGGACCTTCTTCACTCAATTAAAATCATATATCATTGAATAAACCTTTCTTCGGCCCTTTGAAATTCATGATCATATTATAGGATTCCATGGAATTAATTATAACTTTAGAACCCTATTCTTCTCTTCTGAGGATGTCTACATAATTTTGGTCACATCTGCACTTCATTATATTAATAGAATACATTTGCTGCATCATCTAACCAAATAAGAGTGCAAGTTCCACGTATATATTTTTATAGTTGCAATATGATGGTAATAATCTTCTAACCGGTTAAACAAGTATAACTTCAGTCTAATGTTATTATTTCTTTATTTAAACGTAAAGACAATCCATAAGAATTTTGCTAATTGGTCTAAAAGACTGGCTAATTGTGCCGTTTTATGAAGATTGTCATTGGTTAGAAATAGATCTCACGTTACATTTATGTTGAAAACATAAGATTTATCCATCGATCTATGTACATATAACGTATCTGCACGCATCCACAAGGACCACAACTATACATACATATATAATCTACGACGAAGAAACATTAACCGAAGAAGAAGAAGAAAGACGAGAGTATTGATCCATGAGGAAGAGTATACGAGATTGATACTCACGCGCCTGATCAAGAGACTCGACCTCCAGCTCCGCCAGCTGCGAGCAGAGTCTCTCTTCCGCCTCCTCCGCCACCACAGTCCGTCGCCACAACTGAATCATCTCCGTCTTCATCTCTTCCACTTCTCTCTCGAGCTCTCTGTTCCTCCTCCGTAGCTCCTCCACTTCTTCCGCCGCCACCCTCATGTAACCTTCCATTGACAAATTAGTTTGATTAAAATTCGACGTGATAAAGGATTTGATTTGTGGATCTTGTTCTTGTGGTTTACTTTGTTTTAATTTGTTTTGGTTAGAGTGTTAGGGTTTGATGATGTCCTTTAATAGGCGTCTTGTCTAGCAGCTTTAGCATGTCCAGGTTCAATGTATCTCTCGTTCTTGATATTTATTTCCTCCTCTCTTCTATTTGGGTCAACATTCTCTCCTTTACTTAAAAGTTAAAACTTAAACACTCATGGAGAAGAGAATATAGACGACCACCAAAAATAAAACTATACTTTTATGTTTTTAACATGATCAATATTCTTTTATTTCTATCACATTGTCAACTCAGTTGTTTATTTAATGAAAAACTTATACTAAAAGTCACCACAGAATTTCCAATCTATCAAAGTGGTTAATTAGCCTGAAAAAAAGAAGAAAATATATCGATCTGATGGTCTAATCTCTGTCGGAATTCATCTATATCAACGCTAGCTAAGAATCCATATATTGATTCACACACCATCAAATCGATAGATCTTTTTTCTTTTTTTACATACAAATCGACATATTCTTAATCATTGCGGTAAATTAAAAGATTATCAGTCAAATTTAAAAACTTAGGTAGGTTTGAATTATTAGTAAGTTAGTCCATATTATTTTAGGGATATACATGGTTTAAAGCTCAATTATGCATGGAGATCATTTTCTATACATAGATGATATGTTGACGAAAAAGCTTTACCAAAAATGTTGAAAAAAGAGACGAGTATGTATATTTACGGGCTCATAAATAAAGTAAGCTCCGAATATACAGAAATATTGGGCTTAACATATTAATATTAGGTCCATAAATAAATGTCTGCGCGTACACTTCACCGCTTCTACCATAAAGCGCGTGGGATGCAGGTTCACTCAATCACTGTATATTTCGGTTTGGGAGTATTCTGTTTTTTCTTGTAATTCAGCGAAAATGAAAAGGTTAAAACCGTAAATATTGGAAGCAATACAAGACGTGGCGCTCTTTCATTGGTTTTGCTAGTATACTCCTCTACGAAACTCGAAATCAATTTAATATTTATATATCAGTAATATAATTAATTTCCCAGTAAATTCGTGTGTGTTTCTTCCAGCTCTAAAACTCGTTTATGTTCATCATCAGCATCATCGTCTATCTGCAAAACACCTTTACGCTATCGTTGACGTCTCAGATGCTCCAATAAGCTTCTCTATCTTTCCCATGGTAACCTAACTATCTAATCAGCTCTCACTTTATTCATCTTTTCATCCTCCTCTTACCTTACAGTTTCTGCTGCTGCATTCGCATCGATTTTTTTTCCATGATTTGTTTCCGTTCTAGATAAGATCATGTCCTTTTCCCTCTCTAATCAACGATTCGTGATCTCCATTTTGATCTATCACCTGTGGATTTGAATCTCAGTAAGGGATTGTGGTATTATTAGAAATCTGTGTTGTTCGATTTGGGTTTTTTGAGAATTTTGAGGGGATTTGTGTCGACATGGATTTTCCGGAAAATTTGCCATCGGATATTGGAAGATTAGAGCAGATTGTATCTCACTTCTTCCCAAAGGCATTGCACATCGTCCTCGACTCCAGAATCCCTTCGTTGCAATCCCGTGGTCGTACTCGTGAGCGTTTATCGGGTCTCAGTGTCAAAAAGAGCGATAAATGGTTCAATCTCGTGATGGGAGATCGTCCTGCAGCGTTGGAGAAGCTTCATTCTTGGCATAGGAACGTCTTGGATTCGATGATCATTGATATCATACTTGTCCATCCGATTTCAAGCGATAATTCAGATGATGATCATGGCAATGTAAGATCAGCTGAGACTGTGATCGAGCGTTGGGTTGTTCAGTATGAGAATCCACTCATTATGTCTCCTCAGAACTCTGATTCTTCTACGCGTTACCAGAAAGTTTACAAGAAATCAATCATTCTATTGCGTTCTCTTTATGCGCAGACACGGCTCCTCCCTGCGTATCGTGTCTCTAGGCAGCTGAGCTCGTCTCTCGCCTCTTATGGTTATGATCTAATCTACAAGGTTTCATCTTTCAGTGATATATTCTCTGGTCCAGTGACTGAAACTATGAAAGAGTTTCGTTTTGCGCCAGTTGAAGTGCCTCCTGGACGTCTTTGCGCCTCGGTTACTTACCGTTCTGACTTATCGGATTTCAATCTCGGTGCTCACATCACATTGCCTCCAAGAATCATTACCGATTATGTAGGAAGTCCTGCGACAGATCCTATGAGGTTTTTTCCTTCTCCAGGGAAAAGTGTTGAAGGCACATCGTTTCCAGTTAGAGCTGGTCGGCCTCCATTGACTAGCTCATCTGCTGAGCGTCCGCATAGCTGGACAAGCGGCTTTCACAGACCTCCAGGGCATCACGCCACACCAAACCAGTCTTTCTCGCCTGCTCATTCGCATCAGTTTTCACCAGGCGGGTTACACGATTTCCACTGGTCACGTACAGATGGTTTTGGTGACAATCACCAGCTTTCTCCTCCTTTTTCGCCATCGGGTTCTCCTTCTACGCCGAGATACATTTCAGGTAGTAACAGTCCTCGGATTAATGTGAGGCCAGGGACTGCTCCAGTGACCATTCCTTCTTCAGCCACTTTCAATAGATACGTTTCATCTAACTTCTCTGAGCCAAGTAGGAATCCACTCCCTCCTTTTTCTCCCAAAAGCACGAGACGCTCCCCTTCATCGCAAGACTCTTTGCCTGGTATTGCATTGTACAAGAGTTCGAGAAGCGGAGACTCTCCTTCTGGATTGATGAACCACTACCCTGCACAGAAGGTTATGCTTCTTACTTTTTATATGCGTCTTCCTTAATGCAAGTGCGAGATCACAATGTTTTTGTGTTGCCTCACCTGACGTGTTCTTTTTATTATTGAATCACATCTTCAGCTGACAAAGGACAGCAAATATGATTCGGGCCGGTTCTCTGGACTGCTGTCTTCAAGTGGCTCACCAAGATTCGGGTTTTCTAGAAGCCCCAGTAGATTATCTTCCCAAGACGACTTGGATGACCCTGATTGTTCCTGCCCTTTTGATTTCGATGATGTTGATGAGTCAGGACTTCAGTACAGGTAATTGGCTTTACCACATTACCTTAATTAAAATCATTCGAAGGATCCATATGTTTGGGCTAGTTTTCTATAATCTTTACACAGAAAAATGATATCTTGGGTGTTTTCTGTAAGGCACGAAGGTGTAACATTGTTGAAATTGACACACTAAACCTGGCGTTTCTCTTACTCTCTATCATTTTTGGCTGTCAATTTCACCTCTTCTTGGGGTTTTTTCTGGTGATATAATTACATAAGATTTTTGCAATGCAGCCAAAGTCTTGACCGGAGGAAAACTTCAAGCTCTATATCACAGTCGCTACCTATAGTGAGAAAGTCACAGGATGCAGCAGTTGGGGTTCTGGTTCACATGCTGAAGACAGCACCACCATTACGACAAGACTCAAGCACTTACATGGCGTCAATGTCTGGAGTTCAGAGAGAAGGGTCGGTGTCAATATCAGTATCAGGTACAGAATCTGAATTTTCTATGGCTCGAAGCACATCAGATGCACTTGAGGAGCTGAGAAACTACAAGCAGCTCAAAGACTTGCTTCTATCTAAATCCAAGAGTGTTGGTGGAGCAACTCGTGTCCACTGAGCTAAACCAAGGAGCAATCAAGATATGAGTTTATCGGATGAATGTTTGTATATATGGGATGTGATGACGAATACTTTTTAACTCTTTTGTAAATGCAGTGCGTTCACGTTTTTCGTTTCTTCTGTAAAAGAACTTGCCTTTGACTATGCACATAATTACTAATAATAAAGTTTGAACCTCTTCATTTCAAGATAGTTAAATTTTCAGATGTCTGGTAAGCTCAAGAACATCGATCTTTGTGTAGAGGCTTAATAGTTTAAAAGATAGTTAAATTTGCCTTTGAATATGCACATAATTACTAATAATAAAGTTTAAATTTCCTCTTTTCAAGATAGTTAAATTTTTAGAAGTCGTTGTGTAAGCTCAAGACCATCGATCTTTCTGTAGAGGTTTAACAGTTTAAAAAATTTTCGATGATAAGCCGTTGGACAACGTGCAACACATACCGATTCCTTGCACAGTGAAAAAACTATTACCAATCTTGCCTTGAAGTTCTTCTGAATTGATTTGATCATCAACATAGAGTAGTTTTGCAACACAAATTGGGATGATAGAAATGACGGCAATACGACATGAAGCACAGTAATCAACCGAGCCCAGTCTGTATATTTTGTTTATTTGGATGTTGTTAAACAAAATAATGAGCCACATTGGTCAAGAGATAGAGTGCATATTGCATAGTCCCTATTTTCGGAATAACAATCTATTTAATCTATTAACAAAAATTTCAGACTAATAAAAACAGCAACCTACGGATTCAGTAGGTGGTTCATATTATACAGTTATTATATATTGGGGCAAAATAAAGTCACCATGAGAAGCACACAAGTTTTTACAGAGCAAGAGAGAGAGTTTAAAATGCAATGTACCATTCAAATAAAGGGTACACGTAAAGGCAAAAACACACACAAAAGCCTAAGTATGTATCTTCAAATTTCAAGCCTGAAAATTAAAACTATTGCCTTTACAAAACCTGACTCAAAAATGTATTGTCCGCCTACTGCACAACTACAGAGAAACACAAGGCATAAGACGCAAAGAAGTGATTACAGTTTTGAGATAGTAGCTTACGAGCTTTTTACCTTCTCTAGATGCAGAGCGCTGCAGATAACTTTTCATCATTTTCTAAACCTAATCGTCACATCAATATGCACCTTCTGCCAGCAAAGAAAAAAAACGGTGGCATCAAAGAACAGTGCCAAGAAAGTTATCAGATCTTATTAGTTTTACATTACCATGTGCAATTGGTCCTTTGAAGTTTTCACACAGTAAAATCGTTAGAAAAGCATCTATGATTGGCAATGTCATATGAGTGTTCTCTAAGTACTTTTCAAATACTACCTTTGCGGGAAAAAGAATCTTAGGCTGATAAAGAGGTGGTGGAACATAAAGCTTTTCAAGTTCAGATTCTTTTTCCACCTCTTTAGCCTTATCTAGAATCTTTTCTTTCTCTGAAACCTCATATTCTTGCTCATCACTTAGGGTTGTTTCTGTCTCCTTGCTGAATATATGATCAAAAGCTCGGTGGCAGATCTACATATTATTTTTTTCATAATTGATGAAACCAGAGTCGGTCATGAGATTAAGCTTAAAAAAGAAAAAAATATTGATTGTGCACTATTTGATCAATCGTCATATTTTACTTACCATATAATTTATCTAATCACTAAATTATTGAATAGTTTATGAAAGTAGAACCAATTCTGAATGAAGATTCTAATTAAGATTTCTGTGTTTGTAAATTATATTTTTTTATAAGATAACAAAATTCAAGTTTTTTTTGTGTTTTCATTTTAAAAAAAACAATCTCTAACATACATGTGAATTGGAATCAGAGAAAACAATATTTACCATATCTTTTTTTTTTTTTAACTCTTGTACTATTTTACATGACTACATTTATATAATTGTCATAACTAATTTTATACATGTTATAGATATATAGCTTATACGTAAAAAGGTATTACATATGATTAGGAACCATATATTAAAAAATCTGTTATTTTATTATACATTAAACAAAACTAACTAAAACTATAAAACTAAATGACGTATAATTAATTTTACAATAAGTTTAAACTAGAGGCTATGGCCCAATTAAAAACAACTTAACGTAGAAAGACAATAGCTAAGGTGATGGATAAAAAGACAAAAGAAAAACAATAGCTAACTGATGGAAAAAAAAAAAAGAAACATTGAATGTGTAGATAAATACAGAAAACAAAAATTAAACGAACGAGAGGAAACATAGACGTAAGAGCTATTTATTAACCTTAACCTTTAAGTTGTGATAGCAAAAAAATAAAGTTGTGATCATAAAAGAAGACATTTCCAGATGAATGGTGAATTGGTGATCAAAGCTCAAAAGCGGAATATAATAATATATTTTAAAATTTGTTTTTTTATTAAAAAAAGACGTAGGCGAATGTACGTTTTCACTAGGCACAGCCCTATCTAAGATGTTCAATGACCCTTTTTCAGGCATTCTAGTTTTTTTTTACACAGAGATCTCAAAATACAATTTCTAGTAGGCTTCAGAAGAGATATCTCCAGTCAAAAGCGTCCCACGAAACCCTTCTTCGATATCTTGAGGCCCTGTTTTCTTATCGCATATCTCATCTGTTGAAAAAAACATCAGGATTGATTATTTTTTGAATGGACAAATCTCTCCCCGAAGTGGACTAACTTAATGGTTAAAAAAAAATTCTTTTATACCAGCAATATCGCGGTGTTCATGCATCTCGGTATCTCTCACCCAAAGCTTGTCGCCAGGGAATATGTTCATGTCAGCAAGTGTTGCAGATTCCTCATCAATCATTTTGGTGCCTTTGTGGAGTTCCTGGTTTTCCTTCATCACCTGCATATTATTATTATAACGTTAAAGTCCCCAAATGTCATCGTATGTAAATCCGCAAGTAATCTAATGAAACAAAGACGCAGGTCTACAAGGACCTTACTTACCCCAAGTAATTCCCATATCATCATCTTTAATTGGTACACTGTCGTTGTTGCAGAAACTTTGAGACTAGTCAGCTTTCCGTAATTTGTTCTCCGAGATCGTTTTGAGGTACGCCGATCCACCTCAAAGCTGGAGTCAGATACCTCTAACATTGCTTTTGGAGCTTCTTTACCACGTACAAGACAGACAAATACATCTCCCTCAGAGTAACTAAGCTTCTGCATCAACTCACAGCTTTCTCTCTCTCCTATGCATTCCTCACAAATCTAGCAAAAGTAAAAGATCCTGTTAAAAAAAGATAATCGATGTAAAGGCAATTATCACATCTGCTTTTAAAGAAAAAAAGACCTCATATATGGAACAATGCAAAAAAGCTAAACCTAACGTTTCCATTCAATGTACTAATAATATCACAAGCTCAAGATGTTGACAAAATAAAAGGCTCGGGATAAACATAGCTGTTACATGTTTTTTTAAACACAATAATGCCAATACCTCTGGGGTTGTCCTAAGAATAAGCTGTTGAGTGTCAATGTCCATAGTATCATCAGGAGAAGATTCCAGATCAATGACGTCTTGGGATGAACTTTGATCAGTCTTGTTATTAACCTCTATCAGAGCAGATACTCCATTCTCCATGATCCCTCCCCACTCCTCACAGAAAAATTTCCAATCATGCTCAGGGATGAGTGTCAGCTTGTCTGTCTAAAAAAAGTACAAGAAAACTAGAGATTAGATCAAAGTCAGAATTTCCAATATCATCTCTGTATTTGACGCTAATAAAGCCAGGAAACCCGAAAAACGATATGAAGTAGATTAAGAATTATCTCACGTTATCTAATCCACTTACAGAAGGATTTTTTTGATAAAATAAGCCACGTCTGCAGACAAGTTCAGGAAGCCTTTCAAGGAGTCGTGCGTGCTGAAACAAACAACCATATGACCAAATCATTAGTTTATACTCAAAATTAGTACTGGGAAGACAAAATAAGGCCTGCTGATATACGACAGGATATATCCACCCGCGTTTACAAACACGTGAATGAGAGGAAACAGAGAAAGCAGTCAGCGAAACCGATTTAGAATTAGGCAATCTGCCCATATATAGCTTTATCCCACAATACCCAACTGCCAGTAAACTGAAAACCACTCACTGCCGAGAAATGGATCATACCTTCTTGCATTTGAGAGTATCAATGACTCCATCAAGAAGTTCAGGCTCTGGAGCTGAAGAACTATTTTTTCCAGTCATGTTAATATAGCTTCTCCACTGCACTAGCCACGGAGAAGGCAACAAGAAATATCGGCTTTGCGGCGTCAATGCTATACCCTTACCCGTGGCTAGCTTCTCGTGATTTTGGCGCTGCTTGACCTTTATTGTTCTGTTGAATCAGATAAGACGTAAGAAAATATGTAAGAGTATCACGACCAACAAAAATAATATTTAATCATGGTTAACCTTAGTGAATCCTCGAGGCATGCAACCTCAGAAAGTTCCTCTGTGCAATGAGAACATTGGCTGGAGTCCAGAGGGAAACAATGACAGCCCGAAGTATCTTCTGGTGTCACTTTTAGAGAATCTTCAGCAAGGAATAACCAGAGATTCTCTGGAACTAGAATTCTTTTGGCCCCTGGCGCTTGCTCAGGCATCAGCTCTCCATGATTGCAAGTAATTGCAATTGTGGGACCCGCATCTGCTTCACTGGGAGCATCAAGGTTTTTCCTTTTTATCCATTGCTGCAACCTGGAAACATGCTATAAGCTTTAGAAGGAGCTCGATTTTTTGAAACCTAGATTCAGTGTAGTAGGTTAGTGTGAGTCCCGATAGAGGCTATTATAGAAGCAGCTAAGTGTGGCAACACCCCACAAAATATTAGTAATTAAGTGCTCCAATTAAATAAAGGTGTCATCTGCCTATGCATCAAGCAGTCAACACGCACAAATAAGCAAAAAGGTATTACCAGAAACCTATAAGTTACAGGATAGTTGAATACATACCATACTCTAGAGACATAATACATTCCGTCTTCACACTTTCCCGAAAGAACATCGCTTGCTATGCTTTTCATGAATGTTCTTCGATCCCTATAGCTGTCAGAAGAGACAACCATGCGAGCACCATCCATAAGGCATTCTCTGCAGTAGTCCCCTTTCCCTAACTTTGGTCCACCATTGAACTAAACGTACGAGAAAAATGATTGCATCAGAAAAAAGTTGAGATAAGAGTGGGAAAAACCAGCAAGGAATTCTACCACATGATACCAGAACAGAAGTCTGTTCACAGGAATCTAGCAACTATGAACTTGTCTGACAAATGGTTAATGATGGCAGCTGATGCAAAAACTTGAAGACAAGAAAAGTTTCTGTCCTGAAAATGGAAAGGCACTAAGCATGAGCCACACAAAGTATATTGCATACCTTTGATTCTAACTTGGTCCATGCAAGTTCAGATATACGCTTCATGCAATTAACTTTTGAGGCAAGAACTTTCCCATGGGAACACAGTATAGGGGTGTTGTCCAAAGCGCTACATCATACAAGAACAAATATAAGCAAGAACACTTGAAAGCGTGGAAGTGATCTAATTTGCTAAATATAAAATCGTATGTACCACTACCAGTTCGAAATGAAAACTGAAATCAAATACAAACTTTCGAAGGGAAAACAATATCTAGAAGTATGGTGTGGGGCACAAAAATCGCCAAATGCATGTCTGAGGAGATTTACTTACGGAGGCAAAATGGTATCAGCCCATAGACGAAGCCAATCAGTGGAGACCCAAAAATATTGTTCTTCAAGTGAATGAACAGCAGCTTCTGAAAGTATTGTCCGTACTTCTTGCCTCCTTTCGGTCAAAGCATTCAATTCTCTTTCCTTTCTTAAATCATATTGCTTGCAATTCTCAAGGAATGATGCATTCATGTTATTCATCCATTCATGAAGATGCAACGGAAGACAGCCACCTTCAGGCTGTTGAACACTATCAACTTCTCCTTTAGTTATGTCAATAGGATTTTCTCTTTGTCCTTCCTGACTTTCCTTTTTACTGCATCTAAGACTATACATCAGCATATAAGCATCACTGGATGAGAAAACCTCTGACTTAATAGCGGACGTACAGTCTGAAGAGCTTGATTGAATGACGTCTGTGGTTTTCCCACTACTAACGGTACCATTACTCTCGGACTGTGGAGTTGAAGAAGAGCCTTCATTGAATGGATGTTTACCCAGTTCTGAGACTTCTTCATCATCAAATTTCCACCACAAGCCAGTCTTTTCATCTTTTATGTGAGCAACATAATGTCCACTGTTCACAGCGCTTCCTTTGTGGATTAAGACGGCAGAGAGATCGTATGTCAGTTCATTTTGAGAAGACTCTGCCAATCTGGATCCCATATTCAGCACTTGAGGAAAGGAAAATGAGGAAGTAATTTTCTTCTTTGCCGTAGTCTGTTGACATGTTCCAGCAAAAAAAAAGGAAAAGTTTAGGCAAATTTACCAAGTTCTTATCCAAATTAAATAGGACGAAATGATTAGATTTAAGCATAAAAACATGCAAGTTTATATCAGGAGAAGGAAAAAGGAAAAGGTATGAGAATGATCATTAGTAAAAAATCGATAACTCAATCAGCCTAAGATAAAAGACAAGAAACCCCGCCTCAGCACGTGTAATACACAAAGACATACAAGAGGTAAAGATGTTGAAAGAAACTAGACAAGAAGATGATTAATTTTTATGCAAATCATAAGAAATGAGTAGCCAAAACATGGTGATAATTTTTCTTAACAATTGATTCATGAAGCAAGGCGAATTAAGATAGAGGAAACAACCTTAGGAAGGAAAACACATCGTTTGAGCTGAAAAGTGATAACAGGAGGTAGCGTCCGCAGCTTAATGCAGCGTGTGGCATCTACTCTAGCATCGCAGCTTCCACAAAAATATTGATTATCCCCATTCAGCTGCTCCAAGCTGAGGTAATCATTCAAACTATCATCCAAAGTTTTGAGGCCCTTGATATTCAGCTCAAGGGCATAAAAATCCTCAACCTTAGAAGAAGCCTCGGAATCCCTCCCACATTTTGAGCACCTACAAGACAACAAGATAGAAACAGAAATGATATATTTTTTCTTAGTGTTTCATTTTACTCAAGTAAATGAATCTCGTTAAATGAAAAATAAGCTAAATCTTACGTGGTCACATGCGAGACACTTCCGCGGAAGAGATCTTGCACTATTGTTTTGGCTTTACAAACTCCCGAATGGCGTAAGCAACGCTCAAGTAAGGACAGAAGCAATGTCAAGAACTCATGGGTATCCTGTTGAACCCCATTATCCAACTCTAGCGTCTTCACAAAAGCATCTGAATCAACAAAAGACTTTTTGCTAGCATGCAGCTGCGCAAAAAGCCGAGCAATCTGGTCCAAGACAGGATACTGTTTCAAAACATCAACCTCAACAGAAAACACTCCTTCCCGGAAAGCAGTGTTCATGTACAGACACTGAAGTATACTGTTGGCATAGCAAGTAGCACCCAGATTAGTCAAACCAGCAGGTGTCGAGTCAGAAGCACGAGAATCCAAGGATAGATCTGGACCAAGAGACTGAATGATTTCAGACGTTTTCTGCCACAAACCAGATTTCCGGCTTCCATTAACCGGTGGAACCAGCCCACAGAAACAGTTTGGGTTGTCACGGGTGTTAACTCGACAACCTTGACAAACGGGCTTCCATATCATGAAAAGTTGATTAATGTCTTCATCAGTTACATCATTGGCCTCGTGAATTTTCCTGCAAAAAAAGCAAACTTTCAGATTTTGAAAGGGAACAAAAATTCAAGAACTGGAAAAAAGACTAAGTTTCACGAAGGTAGGTTTCTGCAGTTTAGTACCGGAGGATTTGGGAAGAGGAATCAACAGCCTCTGATGGTCTTTGTCTTTTGTTCTTGTTTCGGGTATTTGGTCTACTCATTGTTATCACCACCAAGCGAAAATTAACCCAGTAGCAATCGAAAACCCTAGAAAACAAATAACGGAGACACAGCAACATTTTATCAACCTCTGATTCCCGATTAAACGAAAATTTGAAACAGAACAAGACATTATAATCGGCGTTTCCAGAAAATCCCTAATCGAAATGTGAACTCCAAGGTGATGAAATCGCATCTAGGTTAAGCGATTAAGGTCGAATCCCAGATCGAGAAAAGCAACACTCAAAATCGGCTAAGAATTAAAAACAAAAAGGGGGTGAAAAAACAAGAAAATGAAGAGAAAGGGAGCGAAAGCAAGAGAAAGTACCTGAGAATCTGGAGTTGATAGAAAAACAGTTTTAGCAAGTAGAGAGCATCAGAAGCTCAACTTCTCCGTCTTCTTCCTCTCAACTCCTTCGTCTTCCTGTCTCGGCAGCGAATTTTCTCTCTCTTTTTTTTTTAATTTTTATTTCTTTTCTTTTTTTTTCTTTCCCAGAACTCTCGTCCCGCGCTCTCTCATTTCAGATTATATAAACTTACTCAAAAGAAACGAAAATCATCAATTAACTAAGATTTTATTTCTATCTCAACTAGATTTTATATCAAAAGATGAGAGATTTCATACCAAAACTCCATAAGCTTAAATTAGATTATGCATTAAATGCCACTATAACTCGAAATGTGACCAATTGATCAAATTGACCATATCATGGTCCAACATTTAAACCCTTAATAAACGTCTCATAGAACTGTTTGCAAACAAAACAAAGGATTATATGTTGCGACAAATCCCAAGTGCAAGAAGTAAAAAATAAAACACAAACATTTGAGAAACTCAAGACATACATATGAAACAAAAGCATCAATCTCTATCACCACCATACGAGGATCTCTTCCCGCTCGATCGACCATCGTAATGGCTTCGACCCTTGTTTGAGTACTCACGCTCCCTGCTAACTCTTTCACCATCATCACCACCTCTAAACCTATCCTCCTTATCGCCTCTGGACCTATCCCTGCCACGTTTGTAGTCTTCATCATCCTCCGTTTCACGTCTCTGTCTCGAGTATCTATCCCTGTCATTATCTTCTTCCTCGCTGGCTCGACCTCTATACCTATCCATCTTGTGCTTATTATAGCCATCCTCATCATCGTCTTCCTTAACCGATCCACGTCTTTTAACAGCATCTTCACTTCTGTACCTGTCCCTCCCATTGTTATCATTGTCTTCATCCTCCTCTCCTATGTTTTTCCTTCCTCTTTGGTACCTTTCATCCTTTAGCTTCCTCCTGTTTTCATACTCATCCTCGCTGTCATCAGAGTCTGTAGCAACTTTCTTGCTACGAGAATCACTTCTATACCTGTCACTGCCATGTTTGGACACATCTTCTTCTTCCTCATCTCTTTTCTGCTTCATTCCTCCACTGTAAGCTTCTACTTTACTGCGCAGTTGTAGTTTCTTGTTCCCGTAGTCAGTCTCACTGTCATCAGAGTCTCTTGCAACTTTCTTACCATAAGAATCACCTCTATACCTGTCTTTCAACTCGACGTCATCCTCATCTCTTTTCTGCTTCCGTCCTCCACGGTAAGGTTCTTCTTTCTTGCGCAGTTGCTGTTCATCATCCTCAGACTCAGACTCGCTAACATCAGAATCGTGTCTCTTTCGACCAGCTCTTCTTGGTTCATCATGTTTGTCCCTTACTTCTTTAGTCTCAGATTGGTTGGAAGGTCGACTCTTTTTGTGTGACTTCCTGAGTTTCTTGCTGTCATCACTCTCAACTTCTTCAGATTCGGAAGAAATACTTCTCTTGCTTCTACTGCGTTTCTTTGTAGCCTTCCTTCTCCTCTTCTCTCCACTGTCAGAGTCAGAGTCAGAGTCAGATTCAGAATCCGAGCTGCCAGAGTCACTCTCACTCTCACTCTCTTGTTTACGCCCCTTAGCCTTCTTTTTAGAGCGCCTTCTGCGGTCACGGCCATTTTCATCAGACTCAGATGAATCATCATGTCTTCTCTTCTTGCTCTCTTTTTTCTTGTGACGCTTCACTCTATCAATATCATCATCACCCTTCTGCTTCTTGCTTTCCTTACCCTTAAGATCTTTCTCCTCTACATCCTCATCTAGCTTCCTCCCACTATCTCGGTCCAAAAACGAATGTTCCCGTCTCGGTTTCAGTCTACGTTCATAAGCCTCCCCCGTTGGCTCATCATCAATCATACCCTCTTCAGCCTGTTGTTGATCAGGCAAGCCAAGTGCAACACGAAACGCTTCCATCTGCTTCTCTTTCCTAGCAGCAACCTGATGTGTTTGGGTATCAGAGATCTTCGAATCACCAGGCGCATCACTACTCCCTTCAGAAGCAGAAGCAGAAGCAGCAGCAGCTTCAAGATTCACCCTGGCTTCCTCAAGCTTCTGAGCAATCTCGGCATCAGAATAACCCTGATCAGCAAGCTTGTCTTCAAGGATAGCAAGCTTAAGATGAATCTGACGCTTACGGTCGTGCTCGAGGATGTCTTTGTTGGGTTTCTTAGATAAACCAGCAGTGCCCTGATCATACTCAAACCCTTTTCCACCATTAACAGGCTTACCACCAGTCCTAGGCCTCACGAAAAACTTGTTCGTCTGAACGTAACCATTAGTCCCTGATCCTCTTGCGGTCTGTAATCCTATTCCGTTGTACATCGTTTGCCTCGAACTTCAACAGAAATCAATTAACCTTAATGAACCCTAAAGCGAAAACAGCGAAGATTCAGATTCAAATCGAAAAATCTGTCCGAGAAACCCTAAACGAAATGAATCGCAAACTAAAACCAAACAGGATCTAAGGAAAAGCAGATCTCCGATTGAAGCGGAAAAGAATGAAAACTTAAATTACCAGTGAGTATGAGAAGATGAGAAATCGTCGATGCGGACACGGAGGAGACGACGAGGAAGATAGAACTATGAACTATCTCAGGTCATGAATCGTCGGTAGCGGAGAGGTTTAACTGAGCTCGATTTTGGTCCACAAAGCCTGAAAATATTAGATGGGCCAAGGCCCAATACGGTCTTAAATTTTTTTTTTTTTGTTTTGAACGAGACGGTCTTGTATTTCTATATTTAGAATTTTTTTCTTTTAAAAAAAAAACTTTGTGAACCTTCACTCCGGTTAGACCAAATTCAACCGTGATCCAAACATTTATCCGGTTTTGAAAACCACTCTCCGGCTATTCAATATGTTGCTGTACACAGCAGTTGCATGGAAACAACTCAACAAGGTAGAATAAAAATCAAACTGATTAAATTTCCATTGCTCAAACTTAATTTCATTTAAAATAGCTGGATTTTCACGTGTTCTTTACGTGCTGTTTTAAGGTAACTTACACGTGGTTTTTAAAGTAGTTAATTAGTCAAATTTTAATGATTACTTTAGTAGCATATAGAAAAAAAAAAGTAGATACCAATGCTGCAATGCAGTTCCCACTAAAATTACAAAATAAATAAAAATAATAACTATTGTTTTAATGAAAGCCAATGATCTATTATGTGGCTGTACGAAACAGATCAATGTTCGCATAAACACAAGTATCCAATAACAAAACATTTCAAACACGTGATATCTAATTCGTTTTGGAGTTTATCGATAATACATTGTCACAGTTGTGTCTACACTCTACAGTCTACAGTGTACATCGATCAATGATGGAGTAAACGTGTAAAACGGACCAAGGTCGAGAACAATCCATAAATCCTTGTCACATTGTCACAGGCTGTTTGGCCTCTAAAGATCCCCAAGAGGCAATTTTTTGGCTACTAAAAATTAATATAACGTAACCATTTTAGGATATGATCATATATATGTATATGTAGTTTAATGTTAGACCAAAGCGAAAAGTTTCATTGTCTAAGCATCTGAGATGGCTACAGACTTCAAATCACTTCTACCAGTTATCGGTAAGGCCAAACTTCTAGGTTCATTATTTGTAAGCAAAATATTAATCTCATCATCAAAGCTTTCATTTCAAATTCTACCAAGGAAACTAAAATGCGACATCAAAATGTTGTAGACATTAGTCCTTTACTAGCCAAATGTGATGATTCCGACATGATGGAGGATGTCGGCGTGGCGGAGGTTGTCGGCAAAATAGACCGGGCTTGTCGCGATGTCGGATTCTTCTACGTGGTAACATAAAATTTTGAGTTTCCATTTTGTTGAGGGTTTTTATAAAAGGTTCTGATCTGATTTTGGTTCGGTGAGTGTGGAGCAGATTGGTCATGGAGTTTCGGAGAGTCTTATAAAGAAGGTGAAAGAGTTGACGCATCGATTCTTCGAGCTTCCTTATGAGGAGAAACTCAAAATCAAGATTACTCCGGCAGCTGGATACAGGTTTGTTACGTTGATCTGAAAAAATGTATGATCCAAAACGTGTGTAACGTTTCACTTAGATCGGTGCTATTTTGTTCATTACGAAAGAAACAATTGTACATAACTTTTTTTTTAACCAACTATTTTGTTTATTAAAGATAGATCATGAATAACGTAATGAGAATTTGGTGGCATTATGAAATAATAGCATTACGAAATTCTTTGACCAAAAAATATAAATTCTTTGACCAAAAAAAGAGGTCATGAAATCAATTGCATGTTTTGTCACATTGTCACCCTTTTGTTGCGAGTACTTAAAAATTTCGTGTTAGTGCTCAACGAGTTACTACTAGTTTCCGAAAAAGAAATACACGAACCGCAGAAAAAACGATTTGAAAACGCTAGAAATCAAAAAGTCTTTCGGAGATTATAATCTACTATTGTGGAGTATCATTAATTGGTGTTGAGTTATGCAGAGGATATCAGAAAATTGGAGTAAACTTTACGAGTGGGAAACAAGATTTTCACGAAGCTATTGATGTAAGTTTGTTCAACGTATGTGCCAGGGCTTGAGCGAATTGATCCAAGTAGTAGTTTTACGTATTAATATGGTTTTATTCTCTGATAAACAGTGTTACCGAGAGGTCAAGCAAGGAAAGTATGGGGAAATTGGAAAGGTCTTGGAAGGACCAAACCAGTGGTAAGAGTTTGAATTTTCTTTTTTTTTTCATTGGCATTTCATTAACGTTGGTGTTGGAGAAACAAAAACTAAAATGAAAGGGCCAGACAAAGTTTCACCAGGCTTTTTTTTTAAAATTGCAAATTATAAATGTGTTAACTTGTGATGGAAGTGGATAAGTCAAACGATAGTATAGCGCAAACATTGTAAGCGAACAAAAATTTTGTTGAATATAACCTACCATAAAATTAGATTAGTCAAACTATATGGTTTCAGTATATATAGATTAATGATATTTTGATACTTTTTATATATTTAATAAACTCATAATAAAGGGCGGAATCAATTTATCATTTATCACCACATATATATATATATATATATATATAAAGTATTTTAATTTCTTACTGAGCTTTGGTCATCTTTTGACAATATATTTCTTCTTCTGGCTATTAGAGCATCCGCAACGCGAGTATTTACTCAAGTCTCTAGCAATTTTTTTAATTAAAAAATACAAGTAGAAAAGAAAATTTGTTGGAAACGTTTCTTTAATGGTTACCGATGGAGACGTTTCTTCCCTACTTTTAATATTAAAAAAATTGGGAAGAGACCAAAGATTGTATTTGCATTGCGGATGCTCTTATTATTGTTTTTCTTTGAAGGCCAGAGAATCCTCAAGAGTACAAGGAGTTGATGCATGAGTATATTAAGCTCTGCACAGGTTTGTGTTCTACCCTTTTCTGTTTCTTATATGTGTGTTTTGATTCCAACTGAGAGATTTTTTAGTTTTGTAATTTCATGTCATGGTTTTTCCAGATCTTTCAAGAAACATATTGAGGGGAATTTCCTTAGCTCTTGGTGGATCACCTTATGAGTTTGAGGGGAAAATGGTGGGAGACCCTTTTTGGGTAATGCGTATTATTGGTTATCCTGGTGCAAACCAAGAAAATGATATTGGATGGTAACTTTTCTAATTGTTGTTAATTTTACTACGACGACTTTTCTTTCTATTTATTTCACTTTTATTACTTACTATGTACTAGTAGTAACTAACTCCTCTCCTCTATTTTGAACTTACAAAATTCCTAGTGGAGCTCACACTGACTATGGTAAGTAATTAAGCTTGAACTCTAATCAATAAGATGAATATATCTTGATAGCTTTCTTTTGTCTCAAAAGGGTGAAAGAAACGGTAACTTTGCAGGCTTGTTGACGCTTATAAATCAAGATGATGATAAAACTGCTCTTCAGGTATATATAAGCATCTCTAGCAAATTCTGAAGAGAAGAAAGAATATGTGTTTTCTTTTCAAGTATTTTATTTTATTTTATTTAAAAAAGGTGAAAAACGTGGCCGGTGATTGGATATCTGCTATTCCAATCCCTGGATCATTTATCTGCAACATCGGTGACATGTTAGAGGTTTTGTTTGTTCTCTCTCTCTCTACTAATTCTTTTTCTTTCGTGTCAACAATTCTTGAAAACTTATTATATAATTTCGAGGAATCAACTATATACGCAGATTGTTACAAAAAAAAAAAAAAAAAAAAACTATATACGCAGATACTTTCAAACGGAGTATATGAATCCACACTTCATAGAGTGATCAATAACTCTCCTCGATACCGTGTATGTGTCGCATTCTTCTACGAGGTAATTATATAATTAACTTGTAACACTCTTTTTGTGTGTGTTCCTCATTCGGGTTTTGAATCTTGTAAACTATTTTTGTTCGGACAGACTAATTTCGACGCAGAGGTGGAGCCATTGGATATCTTCAAAGAGAAGTACATTGGGAAAGAAACATCTCAAGTTTCCAAAAGAGTTGTCTACGGAGAGCATCTGGTTATCAAAGTCCAGACCACCTTTGCAAATTTAGTGGGACTCAGTTAGTTTGATTGGTTGGACTTTGGGTGGCCATTTTAATATCAATTTCCAAGTTCTAATAAAAAACAATTAACTTAGAGTGTAATTGGATTTCTATACTAGAACATTCTTGGTAAAAGTTCAAAGTTTTATTTTATCAAGTGGCTGGTTTAAGTAATTTACTAATCTATTAATAATGACAATTCTAGAAAATAATTGGGAAAGTTGTGCCTCTTGAATGCATGATCTTGTGTTTTCAATAGTGTAGTTGTCTCGGATATGTAGAAATCGGATCTCGTTGAAGTAAAATAATGGGATCCCTCTATATATATAAAACATTAAAAAAGAGATTACAAGAAGATTGGAACGAAAATGCAAGTGTGACCTTTGTTTCATTATCACAAAATACAATGCAAGTCATGTGCCAGGGGACGATTGTTCTTCACTGTCCAATAGTAATCTTCCAACTGGTAAAGCTGCCTGAAACATCAACACCCAACAAACAACATTAGACTTGAAACTTAACCAAATTAGTATCCTTAAGACCCCGTTTCGGCTCGGTTAGGCTATTCGTTCTTTAGTAAAAACCCATGATAGAGTTTGCGTTATTAGAATACAGCAAGTTCCAGTGAGAAGTTAACTTACGCTAGATCTTCTAAAGTGTCTGCTTTGTTGATAGACTTCCCTTCGGGTAGTTCAAGACAAGAATGATGCGCTATCATCTCCTTTATTGTGTATTTCGTGCTCTTAACATCGTTATTCCACAAGATGCTCTGCAACACAACACCGCGAAATCTGCAAATCAAATTCTGTCCAAGAAAACTTATCCTGTACTCTTAAAAGGATTATTTTTTACCTTTCTAAGGTATGCTTTCTTCACATCTTCCCAGTGAGACTTTCCTTTTGGAGAGAAAATGGAAGCATTCCACATAGCTCCTCTTGCAACCATCACTGATGCAGCGCCTTTGCAAGGAACAAAAGAAAAGAAAGAAAAACATCAAAGTGTATATAACTTAGAAGTAAATCGAGTATAGTCATTAGCTCATGGCAGGTTAATTGTTGTGGCGAGATATTTGCTAATCTATGTGTACCTGTTGCAGTTTTGATGCGAGAGAAATCATCGTATTCTAAAACATCGCCATTTGCAATAACGGGAATGGATAATGCCGCGACCACATCTGCTATCTCATCCCATTTAGCAGGATCTCTTGGCCTGTCTGCAATTTTCCTATATTTATGGAAGGAAAAATCAATTACCAACTTTACTATTAAAAAAAAAAACAGCTCCAGGGATTGAGAACCAAAGGTGTATATTACCTCCCATGTACAGCAAGAGCTGGTACACCAAGCTTCTCGATTCTCCTAGCCAATTCAACAGTATCTGCTGGTGAGTTTAATAGACGAATCTTGCAAGTAACCGGTACGTCTAAGTTCCTCTTAAGCGTTGCCAAAATCTAGGATAGAGAAGATACCACATACCACATAAGGAAAAATTAAAAATCACTCACTATGAAAACAGGGCATATACAATATGCAAGAGAATCCACAGAGCCATACATCATGAATTAGCTCGGGTTTACTTAACAGAGCAGCACCCATCCCTCCTTGAATAGAGAATGCCTTGGGGCAACCCATATTAATATCAACAGCTGCAACGTCGTTGCATCTAAACGACGATACAAAAAAAGAGTGATTTTGTCAAAATCCGTATTATCACATAAGAACATCGACTCTTTTCAACCTCGGTAGAGAAATATGACTAGACTTACACAATCTCAGCAGCCTTTAGAGCCCTAACAGCGTTAGAAGTTCCCATTTGAAAAACAACCCTGTTTCTTTCTTCATCACATGTGCTAAAGACGACATTGTCTGTTCCTTTCTCTACAAACTCAGTTGTCCCGGCAGCAACTGTAGAGGGACAACTACAAATAAGAATTTGAGAATCAGGAAGAACCACAATATAAGCAGGAGAACACCAGATTATATATTTTAAGTTTATTCGATTTCATCTTTGCTGAATGCTAAACGAATAAACACAGTAGCTTAAACTCTCTATCTCTCTCCCATCATTCTCCTCAAACAACAAGAGAAAGTGAAATAAATAATGCAAGATACACAACTTGCAACACAAACCCACAATATAAAACTAAGCCGATCGAAGTTTAATGCAGCGAATAATGCTATAGCGAATTCTGAGAGCCAAATCAATCAATTCAAAATTCACGTTTACACTTCGAGGAAGACACCAAAACTTACCATTACTTCGGCGTTCGCATTTAACAAGCTTATGATCGATAATCTCTTCGCCGTATGTGATATCGGCGCCGTACTCCGCCGCCAACATCCTGAAAGAGAGCGTTCCCTAAACCAGAGAACACCTCCATGAATAAGCTAGCAAGAGCAAATCCGAGAGAGAGAAACAACAAACGAAACGAGGAACCAGTTTTCAAGCTTTGGAACTTACCACACGAACCATGGGAGCAAGGACGAGCTTGTTCTGGTAATCCATCTTCGTCTTCTTCGTGGCAACGTCAAACGCAGCCACGAAAAATTCGAAGATTCCGCTAGATCTGCTGCGCCAAAAATTGTTTTGCTTTTCTGTGCCTCTTCCAATTTTCTTACTTTGATGAACTTTATGTTACTAAATGGGCCTAAATTAGGCCCATTATCATTGTTTGTGTATTAGTTGATGTACAAAACCCACATCAAAACTTTGAACTTATGAGATTAAAGGAATGATGAAAATTTTGCTTCTTTTTTTTTTTGTCAATGAATGAAAAATGGGATGAAAAAGACTGTTTTAGTAAATCCATTTCCATGCTTTGTTCATAATCTCGTCTTCTACAAACGGACGCAATGACCACATCATAGTGTAAGTCTCTAATTCACCAGATGATGACTTCAAACTCAGTGATCTCACAATCTTTTCCTGCAAAACAGTATCATCCATTTCTCTTCAGTAAGTTTTTCAAGTTTTTTAAGATCAAACAGAAGAGAAAAGGTTCAAAATCGCATACCTGCATCGCATAGTCCTGTTTCACCATACTGTAAATTACTGCAATAACTGCACCGTACTCTGTCACTCCAGGTGCTTCAGAGAAAAGTACAGTCTCGTTCTCCTAAAACAAAACACATCACTCTTCTCTGAAACCATTTTCAGATATAGAAATCAGTTACTCGAGAGACAGATGTTGTTGACGTCTTACCTCATCACACGTTACTTGTCGTAATTCATCACTTGAGTCTTTATCTAGCTGTGTGGAAAGCTTTGTGGCGGTCTCAATTACAAGAGTTGCTTCATCGGTGAGACGCTCCAGCTCAATTAACAAGCTTTGAGCTGCAATTTCCAAATCTTGAAGATTAAAGAGAGGCATAGTTGCTTCCAGTAACCGAGGATATGATTATGCGTGAGTGATTGATGAGGATACATATAATAATCACAGAATAAATAATAGAGAGAGTGTGTGTGTGTAAGACATTACCTTTGATTAGGTGGTCAGAAAGTCCTGATAGGGATGTATGCACTTCATTTGCCGGTAATTTTTATTGTTTTCAGATAAGAAACGGAAAGACCAAAAGGAGCAATGCGTAAGCAGAAACGAAATCAGAATGTCGCTAAAACATGAAACTTTCACATAAATAGACAAACTTTGAGAGATGAATCAAAAAGAGTTGGTCAAAAACTAACAAGCTCTTGTGCTTTGTGCAGCAACATCGATGTTGATACATCCAGCTTCCATATATGATTTAAGCCGTCTTGTTTCATTGTTCTTGATAATGTTCTCGATCAACTTGGATGAAGTAACTATTGGAGGGCGTTGGAGATAGCCTGAGATTGTCAATTTCATAAGAAGCAATGTCATACAAGGATTACAAATTTGCAAAATCCACAATGAAGATTATACAATGCAACGTACTGAGTCCTTGCTGAAACCGTAGAAGAAAGCTGTTTGCAGCATTCCCTAGTTCCTCAAGCTTTGTGATCCTAACATTCATAGCAGTAACCAAGATTCAGAGGGACTAAACTGAAGAAACTTGAAAGAACATGTATGTAGGAGAACAAACTTACCCTGTCATAAACTCTTTGAAAATCTCGGAGATTTTCTGCTTCACTTCGCTTCTCGCTTCCATCTCTTTGTCTTTCATTCTAAACGACACATGTAACATTGTTCCAAGCGAAATTCAGAGACAAAGGTTCGATTTCTCCAAACAAGAATTTGCATACCCAATTATATATCTCTTTCTTAATTTGAGGAAGAAAGATTTAACAGAGAAACTATCGATTTTTCAGTGATCGTTTACACTTGCCAGTACTTGGATATCTCTCTAGAAAACTATTAAAATATGCACCAGTTTTTGAAGTCGGAATATTGAATTAATCAATTAACGAAGCGGAACTAAAATGTTTCTTAACTAATCGCAATTAAAATGGATTCTTTTGAGAACCAATCGACCAAGACAACAGAGACAAAGAGAGAATTATCACAAACCAGAGTGCGAGTTTTGAAGGAGACGAATTGAGCCGTGCGGAGTAGTGTCAGACGTCGCCGGAGAATCTCGGAGGGTGTCGAGGCAACGCCGGAGAAGGTTGATTCCGGCGCTGAAGATGGCGGAGAGAAGAGGAGGTCGAGATATCGACCAAGGGCTTTGGCTTCAGGAACAATTTGGAGGAGATTTATGTTTGATCAAAATGGCGTCGTTTTATCAAACAGTTTTTTTTTTTTCTTTTCGTCAGTGGCTCAAATGTGAAGTCATTGATCGTTGTCGGAACAAAAGAAGTTTGGTCAAAACGGAAAATTTGGTTTTGTTTACTTCTTCCCCATTTATATATATACACACACATCAATCTAGTGACAAAGAAATCAATACCGTGGAAATGGCTGTACAAACAAGAAAAAAAACGAGTCGTGTGAGAGAGTGAGACCGAGTGTGAGGCGTTTTCAAAAATTGTGCCTCAGAAACTGACTTGAAAAATCAAACCCATGCGCGTGTCATAGATGTTGGCGTTGAGTTTTGGTTCCTTTATTGTGACCTTTAGCCCCTACTCCTCCTCTATACAACTTTGTGTGGCTGGTCTGTCCGTATGACGAGTTCTTGGCGCCTTTGGCTCCTGAAAGCGGGCTTGTTCCGTACACTCGTTGTTGGTTTCTTGTACCATTGGATGATGGAACTACAGCTGCGGCGCGTGGGCTGTTGTATGAACCGTTTCTCACGGGAACAGCTCGAGGACTTCCATAGAAAGGCTGCACAGTCGGGGTGGTGCCACCGGTAATGATACCAGCTCGTGGACTACCATAAGGACTCGATGTGTTGACCAACATTTCCTGGTTAATTGAGAATATTTGTATCAACATCTGACGGAAGAAGAAATAAGAGTGTTTTTGATAAGTACCCTTTGAGGAGTCTGGAAAAACTTGGGACCCATATGGGAAGAGACCATCCGTGGAGAAGAACTGTTTACAGTTTGTGGATAAGAGACTCGGCGATGATTGCCTCCTGTGTCGATTCGTGAAGCTGGTCTGCCACCACCAACCCAACCATCGTGGCTTTTCCTAAGATTTACAAATGCAGGTGGCTCGTGTCCCATGAAGTAGTAAGAGCTGTGATGTTCCTCTCTGCATAAAGTAGGAGTTGGAGCCCATTGTTGTCCTTTAGAAGAAGAGTCTTGATTAAAGCTCTGGAAAGTGCAGGAGGATTGAGAAAATGAGTGGCCCACGAAAGGGATGTTTGTGGGTATGAAACTCGGTGTCTGTTTCCTGAAAGGAAGTCCAGGATATGATGCCATACTCCAGTCTTCGATTGTGATTCCTTGTTTTGCAGCGAGGTCAAACACTTGTTTCTCTTCAACTCCTAAACCCATGAGCAAATTCCACAGGTTTCTCTGAGCTTCCCTTTGGTTGTAAATGATTTGGTCCCGCATTGCCATTTCGAACTGTAGTTCGGTATTACCCATCCCCTAGATACATCAATAACAGCAATAAATGTTGAATGAGTAGGGTAAGAACCTTAGGGTCAAGAAAGTGAGACTATGCTTTGTTTTTTCTACTCACCAGGAGCTTATACTGATTGAGAATATGCAGATAAGTTTTGTTTCCGTTGTTATTTATTGCTTCATTGAGCATATCCTGTAGTTGGCAACGATGCTTTTCATTTTCTTCTATTTCCTGTAAAAACAAAGATATGATTATATGACTGACGATGACAAAGATTTATTGCAGAGTTGAATAAAGAGTTTACTCTCTGGTAGTTAACGCCGGCTTCATCGTTGTCGCGGATATTATCAAGTATTACTTGTCGTCTGCTACTTAGAGCTTCGACTACATCTTTCTCTGTCGCCTATGAAACAGAGAAAAGGTTATAGTAATGCAATATAGTGACCGTTGATTAGGAGAAGCTTTATCACCTAACCTGTTTTGCAATGGCATCATCGAGATGCTGAAGTTCAGTGCGATTTCTGAGGTTAGTTTCCTCAAGCTCAAATAATGCCTTCTGTAAGTTTATACGTTCCTGAACATTTTCACTGATCTGGTGGCTTAAACCATCCAACCATGAAAGTTCACGTTCAACACCTCTTTCAAAAGGTTTGATGCTTAGCTGCGACTCCTTTTCTGCTAGTTGCTTCTTCAGCTGAGACACTTCACTCTGTGAAACCAAAGCTCTGAGTTATATTACTGCAACTATATTCATTTTCTAACAAAAGTAATTAACTTACTTGAAGATTGTCGATCATTCGTTGGTAGTCTGACATGTGAGTGTCGATGGTACCAATATTTTTCTAAATTGCATGAAAAGAGAACAGTGAGTACTCCTTGACCAATTAACAATCTCGTGGAAGAATTATTCAGGGGAAAACTATTGTCACCTGAATGTGAGTCTTAATCTCTTTTGCTCTGTCAGCATATTTCAGTGTGTTCACAGTGTGATGATACTGACTATCAGCAGGTGATATTGTTGCAACCATCACCGTCTGGGAGTTCCCACTCAGACCATCTTTAAGAATCCGCGTAAGTTTGCTGAAATTACATGCGCCTGTTAGCCAAAATAGATGACCATTTTAAGATAGAAAGATCACATATCGACACATACCTGTTTCTGTATGGGACATAAGCAAGCCCCTTTTTGTGTTGCTTCCCCAAAGCGTTTATGCAATTTGCTAGAGCAAGGAGTGAGCGATTTATATTAGCTCCATCCCTCAGTTTTTGACCTCCATTGTTCGTCTCAGCTGCTCTTTCACTCCCAGCAAGATCTACAAGGGCAAGTTTCCCTCTCATGACTTGATTTTGATTCTTTTGTCTTCTTTTTACTGCAATCTCCAAAACTGCATGGGATCTGGTAATTGACAAGCAGATACATATATGTAATAAGCCACGGCGGTTCAGTTTTTAAACAAATTCGAGCATGTTTCCTATACGATGCAGGAGATTATTTAAGAACAAAATCCATTGCTGTGAGATCTAGCGATTTGGAAACAATACATGGACAATTTGTTTTGGAAGTAGCATCCCTCACCTTGATGATGTTCCATTCATCTCCGTGCTCTCAGTTTTCCGTCTACTGTTCCCCAAGTTCAGCAGCTCAAGAATCCGATCAGCAGAATAGACCTACAAAACAAGCACTTTAATTTTCAAGGACACAAACGAAATGATTTTCCTCAAAGTATTTGGGTACATATTAGGACTAGGAAGGGAGATAAAAAGTTTGGTTTTCCCTTTCATCAGCATAAATTTCTAATAGAAAAACTTACATAGACAGAACTGGAAGCCAGAGGGAAATGTAAACCATAGAACATTAATTCTTTAAAGGGTTTCCATTTCGCAAACGAAATTAGTAATAAATGTGACACACCAACATGATATGAACCAAATGGAAACCTTAAGGGGATTTCTGCAAATCAGATTTTGCAGTACAAAAAATGGTCTTATTGCATCTAGAAGACAAGAAAAGTATGGACCTTGATTGATCGCAGACCTGCAACTACTATCCCCTGCTCTGGATCCTCCCTGAGCTCTAAGTGACCAGATGATTTTTCAAGCAAATCGTAGATAACCTGAGTAACATTATGACAGAAAGAGTAATACGCATAAGGGTAAGAATACACAAAACAAACAATAACCAATTTTGATCAGGATGACCTTACTTCATTGTAGACTTCAAGATATGAGCAAGTCACTTCAAAATCATCTGAGCTCTTGTCACTCTTAATCATATCAAAAATGGTATTCAAGCTGAGAACCATCAATCCAGGGTCACTCCGAGTTCCAACCATTGTATATGTTTTGCCGCTAAAAACAATGCATCATCGAGTCAGGTAACGAAAAAAGAGGCCATAATTCATCACTCTCCTATGATGTTCTCATTAAGCCAGTTCAATGTCTAGTGCTTAAATCCCAAAACACGCATGACTTGTAGACTTTGCGAATTGAATATATGCTACATAGTATAAGAGATCATTTACATCACTGCATACCTTCCAGTGGAACCATAGGCAAACACTGTAGCATTGAGTCCATGGACAACCCCAGATATCACAGAAGACATACTCCTATAGACATTCTGAAAACCAATACATGTTTTAGATTCACAGCTCTACACCCAAAAAATCACAAACCTTAAACAACAAGTCAAATATCCCACAAGTACATTCACTTACTAAGAAAGTCACACACACACACTACGAGCCTAAAACTTTTCAGGAAATTTCTCAACGCCATAAACAAGAACCCATAAATCCTAAGTAATCACAAATTTCCAGAGAGACGGACCTTGTTCGTGCTCTCAGGACCAAATGCATGATCAAAACAATATTTCTTCTCTTTAGTCCGATTCTGAATTCGGTCAAGGTAATCCTTCGATAAGTCAGGGTCTAACACAATCACCTCCTGAAATCGAAAACACAATTAGGTCGGATAATTTCAAATCGAAACTATGGGGAAATTGAAAAAAAAAATCTCAACAGACCTTAGAGTTATTCACTCGAACAATGTCTCTTCCACGTTCTTTCTCCATTAACGGTCTACATTTCACAGCGACCTACCGGGAAATACGGAGAATTCAAGTAAGCGGTCAAGAAAATTGAAGACTGATAAACTCGAAAATCTCCACGAGGATAAACGAGAGCTAACCGTGAGTGTGGTGGTCTTCTTCGCAGCTGGAGCTCTAATGCTCGGCATTTCGTCAGTTTATCGCGGAAAAATAATCCAAATGCGAGGTCGAGCTTTCCTGGAAATTAATGCAGATTTTCTCGGAAACCAAACAGAGCCTCAAGGATCAAAAGACAAACAGAAACTGACTTGCTAAAACCATGCGGAATTTGAAATCTTGAGTGAAGAGAAGAGAATTTCAGCTGAGGCAAAGGATATTTATTCGAAAGTTTGATGGTTTCAAGATTTCTCTCTATATAATTCACCGTTTCAAATTTTATGAATAGATTTAAGCTGGAAATAAAAATCAATAAATGCTTGAGAGATTTCTGAAACTCAAAAACGAAAAAAAAAAAAATCATTTAATAACTAATCAGAAGAGGGAAAAATAAAGATCGTGCGAGAGGGATATCGCGTAGGGTTCACATGCATGACGGTGCATTTTGAATTAGATGTGGTAATGCAATCTCAGCCGTTAATTTTGTATCTCAACGGTATATATTGACTTATACATAAAAGTCGAGTGTGCGTGGGTCCCGGTTTTTGTTTGTTAAGTTTGGTTTACATAGTAGCATTTTAATATTGAGTCGAAAAGCTTTTTAATTTGGATTTTTGTGGCAAATTGATTTTTAACAAATTTTAATTTGACGAAGTTGCGAACTTTGTACACGACGTGCCATCTAATACCATATGATATACGAAATTTCTGACGTGACGTTTAAAACAATTTCGTATAAATAATAATTTCATAAAATATATATTTTCGCTGTTTTGACAAAATAATTTTTTTTATTGGCAACAAGAACATTACAGAAAATCTAAAAAGGTTATCACAGTGTATTAGGATAGGAAATCATATATGTATTGTAGGTAATGTCGTGGAGCTCATTTGGTTAGCTCCACCTCATGAATTGGATAAAGACAGTGGAGAACAAGAGACAATAATAGTTACCTAAAATACAATAATACATTGAAAGGAATATAAGATTTCCTAATTTAATAGTATTGTCCACATACGACGGTATAATCCTACCATTAGTCATTAGATATATGTACATAGATTTAGTTCCACATTAATGTAGAGTTGGGTATATGGTTGAACTCAGATAAGCCGAAAACATAGGCACTTAAAGGTCGATCCCGGTAATGAAAAATGTATGAGTCTAGACTAGAAACTTTCAGATTAAAGAAAAAAGAAAAGTTAGTTCAGTTTAACTTATTCCTGATATCAGATTATTCAAGTTGGAATAATTCGTGGTTTTAGCCAAATAAAAATTGATTTTGTTTGGTCTGTTTTGTGAAAAAAAAGAAATGGTTTTCTTTAGTTCTGTCTTTAGTTTTGATGTGGTTTAGTTTTGGATAAAAATAATTAGAAGAGAGTGAAAAAACTCATAATGTTCAAACATGGATAATGATTTTCCTCGGCTAAAACAAATCAGGATTCTTTATCCTCCAGTATTGTATGATTGGTAAAACCTTAATGATATCAATTTTGTTTGATTTCGCCCATCTTGCACATTATCATCCAATTCAATTTTATATGAAAAATATATATCCTCTTAATAGTTAATATATAAATGCATTACTATACTACCCACATAGAAGTATGGGTACTCACACCTAGTTTAATTTAATTCTAATTTAATATGCATGTTCTATAAACTCAAGTTGATCTTTAATATGTATCAATCACATAAGTTACAAACTCGATCATAGTTAGTTTTTCTATAAGGTATGGGATTTGGACTGTATACCTAAAGTAGTACATTTTTTTGTCGATCCGATTCATACATATATAGTTGGTTGTTACAGAATGCAAAACTTACATGGTAAGTTTAGATTCTTAATTTGATTTTGGTAAGTTTAGATTCTCAATTTGATTTTGGTATGGTAAAAATAAGAAAAAGAAAAAAAGAAAGGGTGTAATTTTATACAAAATTAACCTATACTATTGTGAAGCGGTTCCATTTGTGAAGCGGTCCCATTGTGAAGCGGTCCCATTGTGAAGCGGTTCCATTCGAGGAAGAAAGTTTTTAAAAGCGAGCACGTGAGCCGTTCGTGAGATTACTCTTATTTACGAAAACTCGAAAGATACCCCAATAGTATTATTACTTTCAAAATACACCCCACTATTAGTCTGAAGAACATTGATCGTCTCTCTCCTTGTACAGTGCCCCCTTTCCAAAACCCTAAATTCCAAAATTCAATCCACAGAAATTTTGTAATTTCGAGTTCAGTTTCCAAGAAAAAACATTTTTTTCTCTTACCCATGGCAGAGGAAGTTCCAGCAGCAGCATCTTTCACTCCCTACGTTCACTCCCAAACCCTAACTCCCCACGAGCGCGCCGTTTCCTCCGTAAAATTCTCCTCCGATGGCCGCCTCCTCGCTTCCGCCTCCGCCGACAAAACAATCCGCACTTACGCTATCAACGTCGACGGAGATTCCATCGCCGAGCCCGTGCGAGTATTCACCGGCCACGAGTACGGCATCTCCGATGTCGCCTTCTCTTCAGACGCGAGGTTTATCGTCTCAGCTTCCGATGACAAAACCCTAAAGCTTTGGGACGTTGAAACCGGTTCACTGATCAAGACGCTTAACGGGCACACTAACTACGCCTTCTGCGTCAACTTCAACCCTCAATCGAACATGATTGTCTCTGGTTCCTTCGACGAGACTGTTCGGATCTGGGATGTGAAAACCGGAAAGTGTTTGAAAGTTCTTCCCGCGCATTCCGATCCCGTCACCGCCGTCGATTTCAATCGCGACGGGTCTCTCATTGTTTCGAGTAGCTACGATGGGTTGTGCCGCATTTGGGATTCAGGGACTGGGCATTGTGTGAAAACCCTAATCGACGATGAGAATCCTCCTGTTTCCTTTGTTAGATTCTCTCCCAACGGCAAATTCATCCTCGTTGGCACACTCGATAACACGCTGGTGAGTTCTTCTTAAAGCCATTGCATTTACAATCTATGCTTCTGTAACGCTCATTGTCATATCTTGCTGAATCTATCTGAGAGAGTCTATGTTTGCTATGTGATCTCGAGAAAAGCATTAAGATTCTAGTTCTAGATTGTGTCGCGACGTAAATTGATGTAGGAGGAGGAGTATTCAAAACTAAAGTTTGCAGCATTATTTTCGGTTTTAAGGTTATTTCTATGCAATGAAGGAAAAAGTTGATAACTTTAGTATAGTTCTGTTATTGATTGAGATTCAAGAGTATTGAATGATCGTATCTTAGCTATTAGAGCTTGGAAGATACATCTTTTGGTGTTTGATTTATTGTTTGCAATATTAGGGTATTGGAGAAGATGTAAATTCTCATGATTCGTTATTAATGCACTGATCTTCTCCACAATATTGTCAAATCTGCAGAGGTTGTGGAACATTTCTTCGGCTAAATTCCTCAAGACATACACTGGCCATGCGAACTCTCAGTACTCCATTTCCTCTGCGTTCTCCGTCACCAATGGAAAGCGAATAGTCAGTGGATCCGAGGACAAATGTGTATACATGTGGGAGCTGAACTCCAGGAAATTGCTTCAGAAACTTGAGGGTCACACTGAGCCCGTCATGAGCGTGGCTTGCCACCCAGCAGAGAACTTGATCGCATCAGGCTCGCTCGACAAGTCTATAAGAATTTGGACACAGAAGAAAGAATGAAACATGGCTCTCTCTTCAAAATCCATCCATGTAAACATACCTTCCTCTTCATGTTGTGATAATCCATTGTTATTTCTTAGATAAACCTTGTTAGTTAAGCTTCTTTATGTCAACATCCAAATTTTGTCTGGTTTAGGGGAAGTGGAACAGTTGTGACTTAGAACTATTTAGGCATGTTTTATGGCAGAGAAAAATTCTTTGGATCCTGCAAGTGCAAAGTGACTTGAGAGAGCGAACATAAATATCTTCGTAGTAACAGATTTTCCCTTCTCAATTCATTGTATTTATCAATATATTGTCAAGTGTCTTTGTGTTCCTACGATATAATTGGTTTAAAAGTATTTCAAGGTTGACAACTGTTCATACGACTCATATTGCTGATGAAGATTATGGTCAAACTACATATATATGACTATATGTAGATAATGTATGGTAGTTGGTTAGGCCATGATGATAAAGCTTATGGTCCCTTGGTTCTGTGTCCTGTCCCATTTTCAATTTTTTTTCACTTTTCTTGTAAAGTCTTTGTTTTTCCCTTCAAATTTTGAAATGGACCACCTGAAAATTTGAACCCACTCTCCTATTTCAATTTCAAAACCAAAAAACAAAAAGATGACTTTGTGACGTTTATTTTGTCTTTTTGCTACACCAGTGGGTTGCTTTTACAGCGTGTCTCTCTGTTTGCATGATTCAACAGAAAGCAACAGAAGCAGCACTTCCTAAAGACCGAGTCGTGTTTGTGTCCCTCCCAAAACAGACAAAGATCAAAATTTTAGCTTTTATTTCTTGAGATGTGAGGTAAAAAAAACTTGAAAAGAGAAAGATTGTTATAGTGGATTAGTCATAATCATGTAGAAGAGGATAGTGGATGGGTCATAATCAAAAACCAACGGAACGTAACCCGAGACATGAAACAGAAGAACAAACCATATAATGTGAGTGATATGATAATCTTTCAACCATTTCTCTAACTACATAGTTTCAAACAAAATATGAAAAAGCGTTTTCTATAGCTAGCGAGAGAAGATAAAGAGACGTTAGGTTTACGTTTGTGTCATAAAAAATTGTTGGGTTCTACACTTTTATTTGTAGTGCTTACATTATCTTTCTCTCATATAAAATATATTTGATTTTGTACCAAATACGAAATCAAGCTTCAGCAAACGAATCTTCATACACAAAAAAAAAAAGAGAAATATATCTTCCATCACACGTGCTTTTGCCAATCCTCATCATTCGAAGTAAATTTTAAAATTCCATTATGTTTTTTTTTTTTAAATTTAGTGTAAGGAAGTGCGTTGCATATGAAAAAAAAAAAAAATTCAATTGGTTCGGGTCCATAAAGAAGACAACAAAGTTCACCTAATATGAGTACGACTTATTGCATTGGCTTATATATTTCTCTAATCTCTAGTCCAATCACCTAAAAATCTATTTTTGAAAATTTTCCATAATCCATCATTCGGCACATCACATCTTTAATACGAGGCAAAACAAAAAAAAAATCAAATTAGAGTAAATTGTGAGAAAAACACATGCGTATTTGTTTTAACCAAAAAGAAAAAAACGGAAAAAGACATTTGTTCACTGCACAACCCATTATTGTTGATCAGTGAACTGTGGTAACTGGCAAAAGATGAAAATGATGCACACGAAAAATGACGATCGTGACCCTAAACCCGTCTCTCGAGGCTGTTACCGTGCGGTCATCTCAGGGTTTGTCTCCTCATCTGCAATTGGTCAGCACCTCAGAACAGAGACCGTCTCTCTCGTTTTGTTGTTCATGTGTTGGACCTCTTTAGGTCTCAATGGCATACCTTGTGATTACGAGGCCGTTTAAGCCTTTAAGGAATGATTTGGTCATTTACGTGTTTAATTTTATTGATCTGAGGTCCAATTTTTACTAACAAAGCGGGTCCCTCGATAAATACCAGTGGTGCTCCATATTTTCTCTTCAAACGATAACACCGGGACCGTTCATCATATTTAATAACTTTAATTATGGTTTTTTATCTTCTTTGGTCCCTTTTATTTATCTTTAAAACATCGTTATGAATTTATGGTTCGCTTTTTTGGCCAAAAAATTGCATATGACTTTGTATTACTGTGTCCATAAATCATAACACCTATCTATGTGACATAATTTTATAACTTTTTTGATAAAAGACTCTAAAATATTCCAGAAATATTTCGGATGTATAAATTTATACCTTACTCGGCGTTTATAATTTTTATACAGTATATTTTTTTTTTGGTAAACGGCTTACTCAAGATATACAAATCAGAGGATATTTGTTAAAATTTGGTTACATCATGTTTCAAAAGATTCAGAACTAGAAACAACAAGGCTCCAAAAGAAAATTAAAGCTCATCTGCTCATGTAATCCTTTTTCTGTTGTCACAAAAACTACAACATGTAATCCTAGTGTTGTTTTCTTCTCTAATTCGATAACTCCATTACATGCAATCTTTCTATATTACCAAAGTTCCTTTTTCGTCTACTAACATATTTGAAATACTCTAAGTTTTTACAGAAAGTTTATGTGTTTAGATTTCTGGTTTCTAGAAATTAAAGTTTCTAAGAATATCCCTCCACTTGACTACAGTTCGATTTATAAATTAAAGACTCCTTTTTTGAACACAAACAAGTAATAAAAACCAAAAAATGAAATAATTCACGGTACAATAGAATAAAATAAAAACACACCATTTTCATCATCTTCCTCAATCCTCACTTACCCTCACCACACTATCACCCTTTTTAAACCAAACCCTACCTTACTCAGAAACAGAAAAAAAAAAAAAAAAAGGAGCCATGAAGCTTCTTCTTCTCCTTCTACTTCTCCTCCACATTTCTCAGTCCTTCACCGCCGGACGTCCAATCTCCGAGTACCACGCTCTTCTCTCACTCAAATCCTCCCTCACCGGCGGAGAAAATGACCAACACTCACCTCTCACCTCATGGAAGCTTTCGACGAGCTTCTGTCTGTGGACCGGTGTCACGTGCGACGTCTCTCGCCGTCACGTGACCTCCCTCGACCTCTCCGGTCTCAACCTCTCGGGGACTCTCTCCTCCGACGTAGCTCATTTACCTCTGTTGCAGAATCTATCAGTCGCTGCTAATCAGATCTCGGGTCCTATTCCGCCGGAGATATCCAATCTCTCGGAGCTCCGTCATCTCAATCTCTCCAATAATATCTTCAACGGTTCGTATCCCGATGAACTCTCCGCTGGATTGGTGAACCTCCAAGTTCTCGATTTGTACAACAACAATCTCACCGGAGATTTGCCGGTTTCAATCACTAATCTAACACAGCTCCGTCATCTTCACCTTGGTGGGAACTACTTCGCCGGCAATATCCCGGCGGTGTACGGAACCTGGCCTGTTCTCGAATACCTAGCGGTTTCCGGCAACGAGCTAGTCGGGAAAATCCCTCCGGAGATCGGAAACCTAACGAGTCTTCGAGAGCTTTACATCGGATACTACAACGCGTTCGAAGATGGTCTTCCGCCGGAGATTGGAAATCTATCGGAGCTCGTTAGGTTCGACGCCGCTAATTGCGGATTAACAGGAGAGATTCCGCCGGAGATTTGGAAGCTTCAGAAGCTCGACACGCTTTTCCTGCAAGTGAACGCCTTCTCAGGGCCATTAACTCCGGAGCTAGGGATGATTTCGAGCTTGAAATCAATGGATTTATCTAACAATATGTTCACCGGAGAGATTCCGGCGAGTTTTGAACAGCTGAAGAACTTGACGCTCTTGAATCTCTTCAGGAACAAACTGTACGGTGCAATACCTGAGTTCATCGGTGACTTGCCGGAGCTCGAGGTGTTGCAGCTTTGGGAGAACAATTTCACCGGAAGCATCCCTCAGAAATTGGGGGAAAACGGTAAACTAGTGATTCTCGACCTTTCCTCCAACAAACTCACCGGAACTTTGCCGCCGAATATGTGCTCCGGTAACCGGTTAATGACTTTAATCACTCTCGGCAACTTCTTATTCGGTTCGATCCCGGACTCGCTCGGCGAATGCGAGTCTTTGACCCGGATCCGAATGGGCGAGAATTTTCTCAACGGGTCGATTCCGAAGGGACTTCTCGGGTTACCCAAATTATCTCAAGTGGAGCTCCAAGATAATTACCTCACCGGAGAGTTACCAGTAAGCGGAGGAGTCTCTGTAAACCTTGGTCAGATCAGTCTTTCAAATAACCAGCTCTCGGGTCCATTACCGCCGGCCATCGGAAACTTCTCCGGCGTCCAAAAACTACTCTTGGACGGTAACAAGTTCTCCGGTCAGATTCCGTCGGAGATTGGGAGGCTTCAACAGCTATCAAAGTTGGATTTTAGCCACAATCTCTTCTCCGGCCGTATTACGCCGGAGATCAGCCACTGTAAGTTGCTAACGTTCGTTGATTTGAGCCGTAACGAGCTTTCCGGTGAAATCCCCAACGAAATCACGAGTATGAGGATCTTGAACTACTTGAATATATCGAGAAACCATCTCGTGGGCTCGATCCCTGTGACGATAGCATCAATGCAGAGTTTAACATCTGTTGATTTCTCTTACAACAACCTCTCCGGTTTGGTTCCGAGCACTGGACAGTTCAGTTACTTCAATCGAACATCGTTCTTGGGAAATTCTGATCTTTGTGGTCCGTATTTGGGTCCTTGCAACGGCAAAGGAACTCACCAGCCTCATGTTAAGCCTTTATCCGCTACTACGAAGCTTTTACTCGTCCTCGGATTGCTCTTCTGTTCGATGGTGTTTGCTATAGCTGCCATAGTCAAAGCTCGGTCATTGAGGAACGCGAGTGACTCCAAGGCATGGAGATTGACTGCTTTCCAGAGACTAGACTTCACTTGTGACGATGTCTTGGTCTCTCTCAAGGAAGACAACATCATCGGTAAAGGTGGAGCCGGGATTGTCTACAAAGGCGTGATGCCTAGCGGAGAACTAGTCGCGGTCAAGAGATTGGCTACAATGTCTCATGGATCTTCACACGACCACGGGTTTAACGCCGAGATTCAGACTTTAGGTAGGATCAGACATAGGCACATCGTGAGGCTGCTTGGGTTTTGCTCAAACCACGAGACGAATCTCCTTGTGTACGAGTACATGCCTAATGGTAGCTTAGGAGAGGTTCTTCATGGGAAGAAAGGTGGTCATTTACATTGGGACACACGTTACAAGATAGCTCTTGAAGCAGCTAAGGGTCTTTGTTATCTCCACCACGATTGTTCTCCGTTGATCGTTCACAGAGACGTCAAGTCTAACAACATCCTCCTCGATTCCAACTTCGAAGCTCATGTCGCCGATTTTGGTCTCGCCAAGTTCTTACAAGATTCCGGCACTTCTGAATGTATGTCCGCCATTGCTGGCTCCTACGGCTACATCGCTCCAGGTACAATTAGTAAACTTGGCATTTAATCAAAACACTTATACATATCTGAACTATTTGTTCCTTGTAATTGTAGAATACGCGTATACATTGAAGGTGGATGAGAAGAGCGATGTGTACAGCTTCGGTGTTGTTCTTCTGGAACTCATCACCGGGAGGAAACCAGTCGGAGAATTCGGAGACGGCGTCGATATCGTTCAGTGGGTAAGAGGCATGACGGATTCAAACAAAGACTGTGTGCTCAAAGTAATCGATCTTAGACTCTCTTCAGTACCTATTCACGAAGTAACGCACGTCTTCTACGTTGCGATGCTCTGCGTTGAAGAACGAGCGGTGGAGAGGCCGACGATGAGGGAAGTCGTTCAGATCCTCACCGAGATCCCAAAGATCCCCATTTCGAAGCAGAAGGCGGCGGCGGAATCAGACGTGACGGAGAAATCTCCGGCGATGAATGAATCGTCGCCGGATCTCCTAAGTTATTAGAATCAGGGATTTCGATGGGTTTTACGTTTTACAATTACAGTGAATGTGCGATGACGGAGGGGTAAATATGTCGTTTTAATCTCGTCTCGGATTTATTAGTTCGGTCTTAGTGGTTTTAAGTTCGATTGAGGTTGTTTCATTTCTTACCGCTGTTTTTTTTTTCTTCCCACGAATATTTCGAGTAGTTTTTATATCTTTTGTTAGGAATTTTGAATATGTACATTCCGGTTGGATGTCGTAAGGTAAATGTTAATTTTCAAGTTAATTTTGAATTTAGAGAACATTATGCATACATACATGATACATGCGGCGGTTATCTATAGACTATACATATGAATCATATGATAAAGCTGCCCATCAATGTCAAAAAAGAAGAAGATAAATCTGCCCGTTTCAAGTATATCTATCAAGTGTGTTCGACCACTCTATGTAATTGGTTTAAAATTCTGAAAATACTTTACAAATTAAAACTTGTGTTTCCATTCTGTTGAATTTGGGACGTTTTACTAAAAAAAAACAGAGTTCTTGCTTACTAGTTGTTGTTACAGAATCCATCAAAAATAAATAACCATCGATATGTATACTTTGGCACCTTTGCTTTTATTTTTGGACTGTAACTCATTGTGGTCGCTGTTGCGGCACAAAAGGACATTCCATGTGAGAGGAGACAGAGAGGGAAAAACTAAGGTATGAATGTGTGTGTGTGTTGGGGGGACTTCTCTTCAGTTATGGTGAGAAGGAAGAAAGCGAAAGCTCACTAGCAATTTTCTCCAATTATTGCAAATGTATGTCTAGTGTCTTTAATGAATCAAATGGTCCTAAGATCTTTTTCAACTCTCTTCCCTTGTCTTGAAGCAAAAATCTAATTTTTATGAAGCCATTTATGACATCTCTCTCGTTAATATAAGCCATATATCCCAACTCTGATTTCGACCCATCAAAACCGAATCCTTGGGTGTTGTTGCTATCCTTGATATTTTAGAGTATATTTCTTCGTTAACCATGACTATTGAGATACGATATGAAAGATAAAAACTAAAAAGAATATTTGTTAGGATATTTTGGATAGAATTTGTCAATATTAAAGATATTTAACATCCAATGATCTTCTAACCCTAATCTTTTCAGAGAGGCAAAGAAAATAGAGAGAGAGAGAGAGAGAGAGAGGAAGATTTAAGGAAATCGATTTTTCGTCTTCACGTGAAACCCTAACTAAAGAATGTCTAATTCTAAGATTAAGTCACGACTTGGGGATAGATTAGAGTGGGAAGGTTTCTTGGGAGGCCAAGATTACAGGAGATGGAAACTGTCAATTCCGTTCTTTACCTAACCAACTCTTCAAAACCTCGAATATTCATAAACAATTAAGACAAGAGATTTTAAAACAGTTTAAATCTTGTCCATAAGCCCTCAAAAGATATGTGCTAATGATCCTCTCTTCATATATCAATAATATGTCTAAGAACGGCGAGTCATTAATCATTCACGTTACATGTGCATTGTGTGAAATTAGTAGGTCATTATTCAATCAAAAATTCCTCTACTATTGAGATTTTTTTTTTTCATCACTATTGAGATTCTTTCTAAGGAAATTTAACAAAGTTTATTTTTGCTTTTGGGCAGACGGGCAGAGGTCCACTAAAATTCAGTATACTTAAACAGAGTTTCAGATACAAATAAGAAGGAGAAGATCAAGAACAAGAACTAGAAGAAGAAATAGTGGTGTTTTGAAAATTTTGTCGGCCATGGATCCATCATTACTTTGAGATGCGTATTTTTGTGTTTGAATTGGCATGTTTGTTTCTTTCTTCAATCTTCATTGGTTTCACCAACGCCAATTATGTCATAGCCTCTGTATGAGAACCCTTGTTCATATTCGTTTTGCTTCAGAAATCAATGTAAATTCAACATATATACAATATGAAAAATACAACAGAAATAATCCATAAGTTCATTCTTAATAAACAAGCCAACCCAACCAAATAAGTTTGTAGTACAAATCTGACTATTGAAGCAAGGCTTTATCAGCCCAATCATAAAATTACTCAGGCTCGTTTATCAAATCTGGGCCAGTTTTGGCCTTTGTCCCTCGCCACGTGTTAGGTCTCACCGCATCTTTTGCAAATCACATTCGACGCTCCTACGTCTTAGCTTATTTAGACCAAAGCTACTGAAGTCGATTCTGTGCTAGGCCCAATTTCATATCCAGTTAGGGGGATAAACACAAATGCATGTAATTCACGTGGCTTTTTTTGGAGTTACGTAAGTAGTTGGTGAATTAGACATTTCGCCTTTTCGGTATTTTTTTTTATTTATCTTATTTTTCCTTTTTTTTCTTTTATAAACATTTTACGTCTCGAGTCAAACAAAAAAAAGGAAAACAGTTTCAATCTTTTTTTTCTCGTTTTTTATAAAAAAAAATACCAAAAAATTCTTAACTCACAACTTTTAACCAAAAAAATCACCAATTACTCAATGAACAAATAAATCTTTAATTTTTTTACTAATCCGTTTAATTCTCAACTTTGTTTGACCAAACTGTTTTAGACCCAGCGTTTAATTAACGATATGACTATAATGACTCGTTTAATAAAAGTTAAGGATTTTTTAGAAAATAAAATATTAAGATTTTTTTAACTAAAAAGTTAAAATATATTTTTATAAAATTTTAGATTAAAATAGTGAAAATGATACATCAAAGCTCAGAATATTACATGATTCATTTTTTCTATGAAAAATTATATGTCTCAACAATATTTAGCCCAAAAATCATTTTAAATGAATTTCTTAATTTTTATTAAATTATAAATATTAAATAATAATATCAAAATTAAAAAATAACATGAATTTGATTAATTTATATCGGTAAAATTGTGAAAATGAAATCATATTTTTTTCTAAATAGTTATATATTGTAGTAACATTTTATTATATTGTAAAATAGTTAGTAAATAATACAAATTTTAGTAGATATTTTTAAATAATTATAAAAAATCAAAATTTGGTTATCATTATGAGAAATTGATTTTATCTTAAAAAATATTAATTTTATTTTTATACTATGTTCAAAATATTTTTAGGTGATAAGCAAAATAGTGATAGATAAAAGAGAATTTTTTATATCAGTAATTTATTTTCACCTAGCAAAATATTTTTTTAATTGTTAATATTATATTTTATATTATTTTCTATTACTTTAATCTAAAAATATGAAAAACAATTATTTTTTGGTAAAAAGCCAAAAAGATCATCAACTTTTTATTTACCAAAATAATCTTTAACTTTTTATCCAAAAAAATCCAAATTTTTAATTTATTAAACTATTTTAGTCCTATCAGTAGTTAACTAAAAATATTGACTAATGTTGGGTTTACAACGGTTTGGTCAAAAAAAATTTGAAAATTAAATAAATTAATAGAAAAAGTTAAAAATTTGTTTGGTTCACCAAATAATTGATGGTTTTTTTGGCTGAAAATTGTGAAATGAAAGTTTTTTAAAAATATTTTTCCTTTTTTATATAAATATTTGGTCATGTCAAAAAAAATATATAAATATTTGGTCTTTGTTTAATAGTTCTTTGTAAAATAAGTAGGGTGAATGGTTAGTCAACCAAAAAACGAATATCCTTATCTTACATGATTTTAATTTCCCCAATATTCACAATTATTACTTTAAATAATTAAATAGTCAAACGAACTTAATTACATTAGTTTACACGGATAATCATATAATTTATTATTATGTTTTTTTTGTTTGCCTGAGATTTTTGTAAGAGTTGACTTTATATAGAATTAGTTGATTTTAAAAATTTACAAATTTGTGAAATTTATATAAATTTTTTTTGTTTGCATGAGCTTTTAGTAAGAGTTGACTTTATATAGAGTTACTTGATATTAAAAATTTACAAATTGGTGAAATTTATATAAAGTTTTGTTTGATTTGTGTAAATTTCATTAAATTTGGAGAGCGTTTAGTGTTTTCTAAAAATTGATCAAATAGTTTATAATAATAATTTTAAATTTTAAGAGATATCCATAGTATTTTAAAATTTTTATATTATAAATTTTGTTGAAAAAATACATATCTGAATAACAACACATTAGCAATTAATTATTTTAAGGAATTCAAAAATGTCAAAATCCATAAACCAACAATAACGAGTTTTGTTTAAGAAAATGTAAAAATCCTTGAACTAGTAATAATAGAATCTTAGATATTTTAACGATCTTTAAAAATCCATCTACTAATAAATCCCTTTAAGTAAAAGAAATTTTTGATTACTAAATAATGTATAGTAAGTTTGTAACATTTAATTTCAGAAAAAATAGACAAAAAACTTTTAAAAATCGAAAGTGGGTGTTAGGGCAAAAAGAAGAAAACGCACAGAGCCTCCGTCACCCATTGTCGTCTTATAGACACCGAAAGAAGAAGAAGAAGAAGAAGAAGAAGAAGAAGAAGCAAACATTACACATTTTCAGAGAAGATGGAGAGAGCAGCAATTTCCCCAAGTCTCAGTCAAAATTACCTTCTTTGTCCGTCACGCGCCTTCACCACAAGTCTCCACTCTTTCTCCTCTACTCGGAACTTATCGCCATCATCTTCCTCAATCAAGGTCAACTCTATTCTTCTTTTTCCATTTCTCAGCTGTTATCGTCTTTCTGTTTTGTCTGACCCTTTTATTCCGATTACATTCACAGCTTCAGCATTCTTCGTCTTCTTCATCTTCCTCTGTATCCTCCAAATTCATCAATGGCGGAAACTCCCTTACTCAATGCAACGCTGTTTTATCCAATTCTTCTTCCAGGTTTGTTGGAATCAGAATTAAATTTATCTGGTATTTGAATTAGTTTTGTTCTGTTATTGATGTGATTGGTTATATACGTGGAAGAGTAGGGATGTGTCTGAATTAGCCGACATAGATTGGGACAACATAGGATTCGGGCTCAAGCAGACTGATTACATGTACGTGATGAAATGTGACCTTGATGGGGAATTCTCTAATGGTGGATTGCAACGTTTTGGGAACATTGAAGTCAGCCCATCTGCTGGTGTTCTCAACTATGGACAGGTTTTCTTTCCTAGTCTTCTTCAAAAGCCATGTCCTTTACTGTATATTGAGTTTGATCAAACCAAGCTTACGTTATGAATCTTCTTGTGGGGTTGTTAAGGTTATGGATTTGAAAGTATGTGTGGAATTTATTTTTTTGCCTGATAATGTTTCCTAGTTTCTCAAAGTCCTGTCCTTCACTGTAACAAGTTCTATGAAAACGAGCTTATATCTTTCGAAGTTGAAAAGCTCTTCTGGGGGGATTTAGGTAAGGATTTGAAAGTATGGAAAACTTTTGTCAGATTCTTGACACAGATATATAATCTGCCGTTGATTTTGTTTCCTAGTTTCTCAAAGTCTCATTAATGAGTTATATGAAAGGAGCTTCGTCTATGCTAATCAAGAATCATTTAAAGAGTTAAGAGGGTTTGAAAGTATGATGAAATTAGTCAGATTCTCGACACTGAAAAACGATCTACCTATGACCTTATTCTCTTATTTGCTATGTTAGAATTTAGGACTATATGATATGAGTCTTATTAGTGTATGTATCTCTGGTGCAACCCTTTGTTTGTAGGGATTGTTCGAAGGGATGAAAGCGTACAGGAAGGAAGACGGTAAAAACATCCTCCTCTTTCGTCCCGAGGAGAATGCAATCCGTATGAGAAATGGTGCTGAGAGGATGTGTATGCCTGCTCCTACCGTTGAGCAGTTTGTCGAAGCTGTGAAAGCAACTGTATTAGCAAACAAACGATGGGTACTGAATGACATACTTCTTTTCCCTGGATATGCAAAGGAAACTACTAAAAATTATGTTTTGCTTATGATGTCTTGTTTTCAGATTCCACCTGCAGGTAAAGGTTCCTTATATATTAGACCTTTGCTTATGGGAACTGGTGCTATTCTTGGTCTTGCGCCTGCACCAGAATATACATTCCTTGTCTATGTTTCTCCTGTTGGAAACTACTTCAAGGTTTTTCAACGTTCCTTCCTCAATAAAATCCAAATATTTTAGATTGTTGTATGTGTATATTTTTTTTTTTAAATGATGATACGATTAATGTAATGATGTCAGGAAGGTGTGGCAATCAATTTGATTGTGGAAAGTGAATTTCACCGTGCAACCCCTGGTGGTACCGGAGGTGTTAAAACCATTGGCAATTATGCTGCAGTAAGTAAAGCTGATTTCGTGAATATCTCTTTGGACACCATTAACTTGTAATATAGGTACTAAAAGCACAATCGATTAACTTGTAATATAGGTACTAAAAGCACAATCGATTGCAAAAGCTAAAGGATATTCCGATGTTTTGTACCTTGATTGCGTTTACAAAAGATATCTTGAGGAAGTCTCGTCTTGCAATATCTTTATTGTGAAGGTAAAAAACTATGTTCAATCTTTTGGGAATCCAGTGATACCATATAGATTTGGAGTTACGTGATACCATATAGATTTGGAGGGACATTTGCAAATATCTCAAGCTACTCCATCTCTTGTATAGAAACCTTTTGACCAAAATTTTTTGCTTACTTACTCTCTTTGCCAGGACAATGTGATCTCTACTCCTGAAATAAAAGGAACCATCTTACCAGGGATCACTCGGAAAAGTATAATGGACGTGGCTATAAGCCAAGGGCTTCAGGTAATAATCTAATTCCTTTCTTCAAATTCTTGACAATACTCACTCATCTTTAAAAAAAATAGGATCATAGTTACTAGTATTAGCTAGTGGTCACATAGCATGTTTATTTTGCAGGTGGAGGAACGTAATGTGACAGTGGACGAATTACTAGAAGCAGACGAGGTTTTCTGCACAGGAACCGCCGTGGTTGTGTCTCCCGTTGGAAGCATTACTTACAAAGACAAAAGGTAAAAAAACTTTCTTTTTCTATCCCCAACTTACAAAGCGATAAAGCTTTAGCCTTTTCTGTATTGCCATAAGAGTTCTTATCTTCTTTCTCAATACACACGCAGAGTATCTTACGGAGAAGGTAGCTTTGGACCTATCTCGAAGCAACTCTACACCGTTCTGACAAGCTTGCAGATGGGTCTGAGTGAGGACAAGATGAAGTGGACTGTGAATCTGAGTTAGAAAAAAAAATAATCAGGCAAATGCATTTGATCAAATATGGCTGTTTTTTTTTTTGTCTTCATTTTCTTTGAAGTCTGTGATTCTCATTCGTAAAACCAATAAGTTGGATTGCTTAAAAAAACTGGTCGATCTTAAAAGTTCAGATCTTACAACTTAGCTGTTTCAAGATTAGTAGATGTTGTTGTTAACCAACTCATTGCCAATCTTTATCTTTCTGTTTGAAACCTTGATATATAATAAATAAAAAAAAGGTTGCGGTTTTCTTCAATTGATCTTTTACACTATGCATCAGGATCAGATTAGGGTTATCTTCTTTCTTTTTTTTTTTTTTCATAAGAGGGATAGGTCGAGCTATATGGATTCGAATCCATAAGAAACGTGGACTTGAAGAGATGTCATGATTATCTCATGATTACGAGATAATAACATGTCTATATATCTAATATAAATTAGAAAGGCCGATTTGAATTATTTGAAGTCGTGGTCTTACTTTTTTCTTTAGAAAGGGAGAAGAAAACGAGAGAGATGTGTGTTTTTCATGGCAACAACTTTTTTTTTTACCTTGAGAATACTTCCAAAAGACTGACTGGGTCCAAAGAAAATAGCCAAAAGATTTAAATTATTGTAGACAAAGAAAAAAAAGTGCTTACAGAAAATATTTAGAACCCATGGTAAAGAGAAGAAGTGATTGGCCAGATGGCCCTAGCCTACGGCTACAAGACCAATTCCTACCAATGGTGTTGAAAATCTGGACAACATTATTTTCCTTTGTTTAACCGTTAAGTTCAAAACTTTCTCTTTACATATTCAATAATAAATTTTATAAATTCATCTAAAAAGACATATAAACAGTACGACAAAAACTCAATAATTAGACTCGCTCATGACTTTATTTCTCCAAGTGCTTTGACTTTTGAAAAATCTTTAGTTCCAATCTCAACTCAAAGTCAGCTTTTTCTTTTTCGTCTAGAAGCGTGGGACTGTTTCATGTTTACCATATACTCTATTAAGATCAATATCTATAAAGAAATTACAAATTTTAGAGGTTAAAAAAGGATGACAAATTTCTTTTGTTGCTTTAACACGAAAATGCAAGAGTAATTTTCTTTAGCAAAAAAAAAAAAAAGCAAGTGTAATTTAGACAAAATGTTTCAATCAAATTAGAGAGTGATTATAAAACTGGAATTCTTTGGTTGTCGGAGATTTCCATTGAATTAGACAGTGAATTATTATACAAAATGTTTAAAGCTATCTATGATCAATCACTCTTTTTATATTTATTTTCTTATTATTTTATATTGAAATGAATTAGTTTACCGGATCCGGGGTAAAATTTCTCCTGTTTGGCAATTTTCCCCACCTACCATAACGAATTAGAATTTTTATATACTTTTGGTACATATCCTTTTATTTTCAGCTGCAAATATGTATAAATTTTAATAGTTTATAGTTGAAAGTCCAATACATATTACCCAATTCTATATCAATGTAAAATTAATCTACCACAAAACGGAACTTCCTCGGAAAAAAAAATTAGTGTAAATTACTGTAAAATATCTTACTCATTTCACGATTGTAGAATCTATAGATAGTCAATATATCGCCAGAGAGAAATTAGAGAAATTTCTACTAAAGGCGTTAATAACAATAGTCTTCCACTCTTCCTTATCTTTTCTACCATTTCTTAATTCAACTATTGTATTGTTATCCCTTGTTATAATAGTATTTAATTTCCAAAAAGTTACTTTTTAATTTTTGGTTTTTTTAAATCCTACTTTTTGACATATTTTCTTACAAAGACTTTTTAGCATCTTCCATCGCATAGCACAATACTATCTCCTCCAGCTATTATATAGTCTCCTTTGTCTCTTTTCTGCTTTCACATAATATTTCCTCTATAATCACAGACATATCCACACCATCATTCCCACCAACATATATAATCTTGATCACATAGAGATCATAGAGCCAGATTTCACGAACAAGACCAAGATCAAGAACAAGAAAAGCAAAAAGTCTTCACTAGGAGAAGAAGAATGGGAAGAGCACCGTGTTGTGACAAGGCAAACGTGAAGAAAGGGCCTTGGTCTCCAGAGGAAGATGCAAAGCTCAAATCATACATCGAAACGAGTGGCACAGGAGGAAATTGGATCGCTTTGCCTCACAAGATTGGTATTAATAATTACTCTTCTTTATTCAAATATATTTATATCAATATATATACACTCGTTTTTTCAACCGGAGTGTTCTAGATCAAAACAAAATAATTTTCGAAATCTGTGAAAGAGTTATGTATTTTTTGCTATTTGTGGCGCCAACAATGATCTACCATAATGATACTACTATGATTTTCTTTAGGATCTTAATTTCTAGAGAGGAATTGATAACTAAAGAGGCCTTTTTAAATATTGTTTCTTGGTTGGGACATGGATTAAGGTCTGAAGAGATGTGGGAAGAGTTGCAGGCTGAGGTGGCTTAACTATCTAAGACCAAACATCAAACATGGTGGCTTCTCCGAGGAAGAAGAAAACATTATTTGTAATTTCTATCTTACTATTGGTAGCAGGTAATATTCATACACATTATTCTTGTATAAGCGTCAAATATCATGCATGTGGAAACTATTAATTTGTTTATAATGTCTAAATTCAATAAAAGGTGGTCTATTATCGCTGCTCAGTTGCCTGGACGAACAGACAACGATATAAAGAACTATTGGAACACGAGACTAAAGAAGAAGCTTATTACTAAACAACGCAAGGAGCTTCAAGAAGCTTGTATGGAGCAGCACGAGATGATGGTGATGATGAAGAGACAACAACAACAACAACAACAGCAAATCCAGACTACTTTCATGATGAGACAAGACCAAACAATGTTCACATGGCCACTACAAGAGCTTCCTCGTGATCATGATGATCAAGTACAAACTCATGTCATGAATCAAACCAAATCGTTCTCCGACCAAGTAGATGTTAAGCCAGTGACCATCAAGAACATGGTCAAGAGCGAAGATCAAGAACCGGAGAGAACAAACGCTTTTGATCATCTCTCCTTCTCTCAACTTTTGTTAGATCCTAACAATTATCACTTAGGATCAGGAGAAGGTTTCTCCATGAACTCGATCTTGAGCACCAACGAACACTCTTCATTGCTTAACTCAAGTATCAATCATCAATGGTTCGGGAATTTCCAGGCCGAAGCCGTCGACTTGTTTTCTGGAGGGACAAGTACTTCGGCAGATCAAAGCACCATAAGTTGGGAGGACATAAGCTCTCTTGTTTATTCTGATTCAAAGCAATATTGTTAATTGATTATTTCAAAGATCAATATATTAATTGGGGTAATGCAAGGCTAGGGTACGTATACGGAATGAGAAGACGATCCATCTATTTTGTATAAATATATTGATATATAATTAAATCAGAGTTTTTAATGGGGTACTAAAAACAATATGGATTTGAAATGTTAATGCAGAATTCGAACTAACATTCTACAATACTAAAAGACTAAAACAGATCCTAACGAACTAATCGCATTTAAATAGACACATTATTGTATTATTCTTTGCTTTTTTAATAAGAACTTGTAATGTGCATGCATATGTATCATGTATGAGTGACTTTACGTACGAAAGAGTATATAGTTACGTTTCTGTTTTTATATAGCACAAGTGACAATATTTACAAATTTCACATGCACGACCATGAAAAATAGTTTAGTGATTTGTGTTACGTACTAACTTTATTGTAACATTTCAATTCAATTTGAGTAACAAACAAAAAAAAATATTTCAAGTCAAGTTCGAATATTGCATTTTTGTATGTAGATAACAAACATAAATCAAAAAAGGGAAAAAATATTAATAGTGCTTTTGGGTTCTTGGCACGTACGTAAATACGGTCGGATCTATAGATATGTGGTTGGATTCATTGATTGTATGTTCATCTGATACAAAGTATATATACGTACTAATTCCTACTTTATTCAATTTTTTGATTAATTTGGATTCCCCCAGATTCGTTCTATAGGGTTATTTCCTTGATGTAGGATTGTACAAATCAATTTAGCTGGAAACCATTAGGGTTCATTAATATTAATAAAAATTAATGTTGATGGATTTATATATGAGGATAACAATACCTAACATTTTGACAAAAAAAGGTCGTGATTACCAAATAAACGATCGTGTGCAACTTTCAACTTCTCAAAGACGTGACCTCTCTCCCCTTAGTCACTAGTCTGTTACTTGTTTCCTCACAGAATCAAATGATGTCATCCCAAAATTCTGTTCCCTTATGAGTTTTGGCAAATTCGTTGCCCATTCGAAAACCAAATATAATTGAAAGAAACATGTATATAATGACACTGTCGCTTGAACAATAATAGTATGTATTTAAACTATATATAACTTTGTCGTGTGTAACTTTTCACAAAAACATTTGAATTTTTGAAATTTCCATTCACAAAAGATAGTTTGCCTTCTGAAAAAGCAAATGATTATCATTTTTGGGTGCAAGCTCTTATAATTGGTATATTACATATTTATATAGATGGCGTTTTCAAAGAGTATTACAAAAGTAACAAAACTAGTCTCTGAAAGACAAGTCATTTGAATGTTCCAAACATTCTCTTCAAACAGCAAAATGACAAACATAATTATGCAATTATTAGCCTTCAATTTTCATACTTATAAATCACGCACCCATTAATTGACTAATACTAATAAAAGTTTGTCCGAACTAAAGAATCTTGTGTTGCAATGCATACTACCAAAATAAAATAAAATTGTGGCTACATTTATATATCAAGAATCTTATTATATTCTTATTTATATATTCCTATATATGTATATATCAATGTAGTTGAAAGTTTCAAACTTACACATCAATTTTTCAAATGCGTACATCCAACGATGACCAAATTTTATTACGCGTGGAAAAGTTCTCATCCAATAGTGTATGTAACTTAGTATTTTATGTAATTAGTTCATATTTTATTAATCGTAATTTAGGAAAAACTGAAAAAGGGACGAAGTGATGAAAATCATGCACGTAAGCCACTTGCATTAGTGATTCAGTGGATTGTAGAATGTGTCATTGGTATGGACATATATATACAAATTTAAAATATATACCAAGAAAAAATAAAAATTAATGTTAGTTTTTAATTTCTCATATTAGTTTCTAGTATTAAAAAGATTGGTTCATTTTAATCATAAAATTCAGAAATTCCAACATGGTTCAGAGTATCTTT